TTTTCAAAAAATTACAATTTATTTGGCTGGTTCTTGGTAATGAGTGGAGGGAGGCTGGTTCTTGGTAATGATTAAGTTCTGCTTTATTGGAAATGTATTTCACAAGCTTATTGTTGATTTAACTCCCCCTGAAAACTGCTTTTATCACACTCCTCCTCAAAAAAAAACCTCGATCCCTCTAATCTCTCACACTACCATCCCATTTCCAACCTACCCTTCTTTGCTAAACTCCTGGACCGCATTGTTGCTGATCAACTTCAGTCACACCTCTCCCTCCACTCCCTCCTCGAGCTCCTGCAGTCTGTTTTTCACACTGCCCACAGCACAGAGGCAGCGCTTGTCAAAGTCACAAACAACATCCTCTCTGTCTGGGACTAGCGCTCCCTCTGCCTCATCCTCCTGGATCTCTCTGCTGCGTTCGACACAGTCGACCATGCCATCCTCCTCCACCACCTCTCCTCCCTTATCCTTTGTGGGACCGCACTCGCATGGCTCGAGTCCTACTTAACCAACCATCTCCACTTCATCTCGACAAATGATTTCTCCTCCCGCGACCGCCCAGTCACCTGCGGGGTACCCCAAGGTTCCATCCTTCACCCTCTTTATTCCCTCTTTTTTTCCTCATTGTGGAGTCCTGTAGCTCAGTGGTTAGAGCACTCGCTTTGCAAGTGAGAGACCTGAGTTCAATTCCAGGCAGGGCGAAACCTTGGGCAAGTTTCCTTACTCCACACGCCTAATAATAATCCCTCCAAAAACTAAAAACAATAATTAAATTGGTTATTTTCAATCTACGACTGTTTGTGGGACATTGCTGTGCGCAATTGGCTGCCGCGTTCGCCCACAAATATACAGTCAATTCACTTTACAGTGTGTTCTGTGAAGCGCTTTGGGACGTCCTCCCGACGTGAAAAGCGCTATATCAAATGCAAGGATTATTATTATTATTATTATTATTTATATGCTCCCTCTTGGTGATGTCATCCGCAGAGACAGATTAAACTTCCACATGTATGTGGCTGACACACAAATCTACTTTACCTCCTCCAGCATTGACTCCAGGGCCACCGAAGTTCTATCAGCTTGTCTGGCAGACATTAGAGCCTGGATGAGTGTAAACTTCCTGCAGCTGAATGTGGACAAGACGGAAGCCATACTCTTTGGCTCCCGTCAACGTCTTCACTCCTGCAGATCTAAACTCCTCAACCTCCATGGGCTCTCCCATAGACTCAGCGAACTGGACACCTCTATTGCACAATCTAGGTATCCAGTTCGACCCCTAGCTGTCCTTCCTCCCCTACATCCGGTCGCTAACCAAGACCCCTTTCCTCCACTTATGCCACATTGCCCGCCTCCGATTGTATCTTACCCCAAATGCAGCTGGAACCCTCGTGCATGCGTTTGTCACCTCCCGCCTGGATTACTCAAACGCACTCCTCCCCGTCTCCCCAGCTCCACTATTCACAAGATCCAGCTCATTCAGAACTGTCACCCACATACTGACCCAGATCAAACTCTGTATCCACAAATCACCAGTTCTGGCCCAGGCTCCACTGGCTCCCGATCACTGAATGGATTGACTTCAAGATCCTCACACTCATGTTCAAATCTATTCAGTCCCTGGCACCTCCCTAACTCTCCGACCTCCTCACTCCCCAATCCACCACCCGGCGCTTCCGCTCCACTGGCACCAGCCTCCTGCTCGTCCCTCGTACCCTCCACCCCACCATTGGAGGCCGCGCTTTCAGCCATTACACCTACAAACTCTGAAACACTGTCCCTCAATCCCTCCACCTTGCCCCCTCTCTCCCCTTTTTCAAGTCCCATCTGAAAACCTTCCTTTTCGACCGTGCTTACGGTCACCTCCCCCCTTGCTCGGAGTCACGCTTTGCCACTTTTAAGCGTCTGAGACGCTACCCGATGTGGGGGGCGCTATATAAGTGCAAGTTGTTGTAAGTTGTTGTGAACGAAAACAAATTTTGCAATTTTTGACTTTTGTCATTTTTATTTTGAAATATTACAGGGAAAAACATTTGTCATCCAACTTTTCTATGCCTGCCAATTTTAAGTACCTCTATCAGATTCTCACTCTGTCTTTTTCTGGAGAGAAAAAGGGTGGCCAATCGTTCTCATAGTTGAGTCTCTTAAATGTATGTCAGGCTGCTTCAGTTGATAGCAGTCTTGTCTCTGAATTGGAAGATGGTGAGTTCAAGCCCCATGAACTTATAAAGTCTACCCTGACAACAACAACAACTTACATTTGTATAGCACCTTTCACATCAGGAAGATGTCCCAAGGTGCTGGATATTCAGGGATCCGTCAGGAAGGGTGGAGAGTGGGGAAGGTAGGAGGCACAGTCGAAGAGAAGAGTCTTGAGACGTGCATTGAAGGAGGCAAGGGAGGCAATGTAATAATAATAATAATCCTTGCATTTGATACAGCGCTTTTCACGTTGGGAGGACGTCCCAAAGCGCTTCACAGAACACACTGTAAAGTGAATTGACTGTATATTTGTGGGCGAACGCGGCAGCCAATTGCGCACAGCAACGTCCCACAAACAGTCGTAGATTGAAAATGACCAATTTATTATTGTTTTTGGTTTTTGGAGGGATTATTATTAGGCTCTGTGTGGAGTAAGGAAACTTGCCCAAGGTTTCGCCCTCTGCCTGGAATTGAACTCAGGTCTCTCGCTTGCAAAGCGAGTGCTCTAACCACTGAGCTACAGGACTCCAATGTAGTGCAGGGAGTGTACTGCACTGGTGGAGAGTTCTTTAAGCAAAGAGTAAGTAACATCAGAAAGAGGCTCTCATTGAGATTTCATTGAGTTGAGCTAATCCTTTGTAGTCCAGTGAGAACATGTTCAAAGACAGTGAAGCTAATGGCATACAGTTGGGTATTTGGGATTTCTCCATTATAAATGCATGCCTGTAAGATAAATAACTTTGCTAAACTGTGAAATTTGAACCTCCTCCATGCCCAATATCCAAGAGGAAGAAAGATTGTAGCAGGCTCCTACAACAAGTTGTTATGTTTTGGGTGTAAATCCAAAGACCTATTATCACTTTTATAAATCTTCAAATTACACTTACCCATGCCAGGGCGACTCAAACTGAATTCAGTTGCTCAGGATGTGGTAAAGGTTACCTTGACTGAGTGCATCTGCTAGTGTTAAATTCTCAACATGCACAATTCTTTAAGTTCCTGCTTGAACCACAAAATAGAACTACTGATATTTAAAAAGATGTTCACACCAGTTGAAGACTAATTGTCCTACTTTGCAGCTTTTGATAAACACTTAGGAAGAGGCCAGAGCTTTTGTGATAGTCCATTTTTAAAAATATATTGTTCTGATTGCTCTGAATTTGTTCTAATATTTCAAACATGCAAATCTGCAGGACAAATATAACCATGACAGGAAGAAAATGTATGAACTAGGACAACAGGGGAAATAAGACATCTGCAGTGCACTCATTCAAATTCAGACAATGACCATTTCCATTCTGACTGCTGATCAATGTAGATAGGACTCTCCCAGAAATAATTGCCTGAATTTGTATTTGCTCCAACCAGGTCAATAATCTAGTCAAGTTCAAGAAATAGCGCTTTTTCCACTGGATCAGAAGCTTGTGGGAACAAGCCCCATGTTGGACTTTCAGCCCATAGTCCAGGCTGACATTCCAGTGCTGGGGAAAGCACTGTATTGTCAGAGGTGCCACCTTTTGGATGATACATCTGCATGTTCAGGTGGATGTTAAAGATCTCATGACACTACCTGACAAAGGAGTTTCTTTTTGTCCTGGCTAAGAATCCTCCAGAAAAAATACTGCAGAGTTGTTTGGGATGTTGCTGTGTGAAAATTGATGTACATTTACTTACAAATATACAGTCACTACACTTTACAAAAACTTTATGGAGTCCTTTTTGACATTTTAGGCGCTATATCAAATGCCAGGATTATTATTTTTATTAATATAATGTACTCTCCTGCAGATACCTTCTAATCAAAATGCACAGTAGCTTCATATATTCTGTGTTTGCAAGTATAGTTACAAATTAGAATGAATGACTTTTCAAGATGTTTTTAAACTTTTGTAATATGTACTTGAAGAAGCCATGGGGCGTCTCACTTTCTTTGCAATTAACAGTAAAGTGTGTTCTGCTTTCTTGTTTGTATATGTTGCTTTCAGTATCTACATTTAGGTCCAATACAGAAATATCCTTCCACTGAATATTTAGACCTTTAATAGAATTGTATGTGCTGTGTTTGGTAACTAAAGAATATGGGATTTTAACACTAAGTTGTTGAATTCAGCAGCTCTTTGGAAAAAAAAACAAGCCAGTGATATGAATTCAGAATTTTCTAAGGTTCAAACAAGGGCCCAGGCCATCAAGGCAGTGCAGACATCCATTAATACCAAATAAACTCATTCAGAAATATGAATAGATTTTAGATTTCCAGCATCTGCAGTACAGTATTTTGCCTTTTGCTAAACAGAGTTTAGCCTGGCTTCACTCTGTCAATGCTCGCCAATAACAACAACAACAACAAAATTACATTTATAGAGCACCTTTCACGTCGGGAGGACGTCCCAAGGCACTGGACAGTCAGGGGTCAGGACTGTCCAGACTCCCCAGTGCTTCTCTACACAAGCTGCAGACTATCCATGTCTTCTCCTGCCCCAGGCTCTGCAAGCCTATCTCAAAACATCTTCACTTAGCTGCATTGTTCAGTGGATCGAATCAAAGCCAAACACAGTAAATATCCTGATTTACCACACTCAGGTTGGTTTCAGGCAAGGAAATCAAGGAGCAATTGGTAAGTGCAGAAAAACAAAACAAACTGATGGAGTAGAAGACACCACAACAGGATTAAACTGGGATCATTTGTTCTGCTCGAAGGATTTTGGAATGCAAAATGAAAATTAATTTCTGAAGTTGTGAACTCTGCTAGGATAGTATCTCTCAAATTTGTATTTCTACAATATGCAGAACTAAAATACCCATTTGCATTTTGCCAATGATCTGGTATTGCATTTATTTTGCAGATTAGATGATACATTTGCAATTAACTGTGTGTTTATATTTACTGGTATGTGGTATTCTGACCTGTTTGATCAGAAATAGTAAAGAAATGTAACAAAATAACAAGCAGTTACAAAAGGATTCAGATTAACTTCCACATTGTAGCAGACAATCCAGTCTGGTAAAAAATCACAGTTGACATTTCAAATAATTGTGTACAAACTTTGATCAAAACAAAACACAGCTTAGAAAACAGGAACCGTAGAGGAACTCAACTGGAATTGTGGAATGTCACTTGTTAATTTCCTGGTGAAATCTGCACAGCCTAAGCATCCCTTCAGTCACACACATATTTGTTCAGTAAAGATGTAATAATATGTCCCAATGTTCGAGATGGTCAATGATCTGGACAGTCCACAAAGTAGCCACTAATCGTAGTTTCCAACGTGTGTCTCAGAAGCTCCATTTCAGTCTGTAATAAAATGACAGGCGAATATTCTTAGCCAATGTTCCCTGAGCCTCAGTTCTTATCTTATTCAGCAGATGTGAAATACATTAACAGGTTGGGTGAGCAATGCGTGAAAAATAGAGGCGACTATTAATCATTTAGTGGAAGCGACCAACTTGAAATGCTATAGTTGGTTCTTACATATTATGGTTTATGAACAATTTTCAGAAAATTGTGTGCAGATGCACATCAAATCCATCAGAGGGCAGAACACAACAGAGTAACAGGGCTGAATGCATCAGGAATTCAGAAATATCACTTCAGACATTTCAAAGTGCTTCACAGCTAATTACTGTCAAGTGTAGTGACTATAGGCAAAGGCACATGCCATAGGCACCAGGAAGTGCCACAAGCAGTCATGAATTGAAGGACGGAGTTGTCAATGACACGTTAAGCCAAGACCCTGTCTACTTATAATAATAAATAATAATCCTTGCATTTGATATAATGCCTTATCATTTTGTCAAGATGTCTCAAAGTGCTTCACAGGATTTACTGTAAATTGACTGTGTATTTTGTGGGTGAGATGTGACAATTAGCCAGTTGCGCACAGCAATATCCCACAAACAGCCATTGCGAGGGACCAATTTAATTTGGGGGATTGTTGTCCAGGACACTGGGAGAAACTCCCTTCTCTTTCCAATTTTGTTTTGGTCAGCCAGGTATCTGACACATGGTGAAACCCATCACCATGCTTAAGCGTATCCAAACCTGGCAGAGATTTCCATGCGTTCCCCTGCACATGGAAATCCCAGTGATGGATTGTTGCTTTCATCTGTGTACATCATCTCATGTCTTTCTTCCTTTCTTTCTGTTTAATTTCATTTGTTTCCTTTTTTATTCTCATCTTGTTCTGATAGATCAAACTTTACAGGAGAGAGAAAAAAAAATCCCACGCAGGGCAGCCCTACCGAAACTCTGGGATGCTCTCCCTCTATTCCTTCCACCTTGTCCCCTCCGTCCCCACTTTCAAATCCCGCCTAAGGATCTTCCTCTTTGATTGTGCTTATGGTCACCTTCCCCCTCCCTATCCCTCTGGCTTGACGTCATATTATGTTCCGCCACTGTTAAGCACTCGGGATGCTAGCCCATGTGAACGGCACTATTATAAATGCAAGTTGTTGTTGTTGAATGGACAATGAACAATGATTAAAGGGTAAAGGAAACCAGAGGGAAACCAGAATCTATAGAACTACACGTCAGCAGGAAGAGGCTGGGGATCAGGAGCAGAGCGGCATATCTCTTTGGGGAGAAAATTAGAAATTAGATTTTTATATTTAAATTTTTTTAATATAAATAATGTCATGACCAAATATACAGAGAATTCTGCTCCACCGCTATATGGGCTTCAATGTTCAACAGAAACAGTCAGTGTCAGATGTGACATTTTCAGCGGAATTCATCCTATAAAACTGAAATGATTAAAAAATATATCAATTATATTGAATATGTGTTGAAAATAACACTAGTGTGATTTTACTGCTCCAACATTCCTGAAGTAAACCAAAATAATTATTACTGGTATTTACTTTGCTGTTCAAATGCTTCAATGAAAGTTTACGATATTTATCACTGTAGCTTTCAGTGTTGCTAAACCTGTTGATGGAACAGTCACTATATACTGCCTAGTATTCCAATTGCCATTACTCAAAGGTAGCACCGAATTCACCGTACCAGTAGATTTACTGCAGGAATTACTATGTTTTTATAATACATGTAACACCAAGACAAATTGTGCACAGATTCATATTTTACAATAACAATACCAAGACATAGAATTAATGTGCTTAAAATTTAAGAATTAGAACTCTGAGGCACCTAATGTGCTCAATAAAAGCTAAAGTTCTTCATTTTCACAGTCCCCATGAGCCCAAATAGCTAAAACACACTTCAGCTTCTCAGTTATTCCTATAAATTTTGGTTGTCCTTAATTGAAAAATGTTCACTCTTGTTGGCCTTCATCCTGGATTTGGTGCAGGATCACTACACTTTCCATCAAAGTGGTTACATAGCACATTTATTTTCTAAAAAAAGAGTAATCTTTCTGTATCTATGATACAGATCTATATATCTATAATGTAGATTTATAATCTATAATAACTTCACAGTTTCATACAATAAAATGAGTTGCAAGAATATTTCAATGTCTTGGAATGTATTTCAATGTTTCTGCAATGAAACTGCTAAAGTTATGAATATAAATAATTCCTGTTTTACTCTTACTTGGTGCTTGGGAATACATCAGCACTTACCTCTTCCAAGCCACTGCTGTAGCCAATCCAATTTAGATGGTTGACCATCAGATGGTACGGGGAAAATGAAGTATTCCTGGCAAACAGATGCTTGCAAAATTCAGGGACCTTTCTTCCGTTTTCCATGTCATTGTAAAGGTGAATGGCTTTATACAACATTAGAAACTTCACGGCTTCGTACATTCTTTGTTCTGTCGTTTCATCCTTGAGCAGATTTCCACATGCTTCTGCTCGTTCAGTCTCACTATGTATGCAGCATATTGCTAACCACTGTAAAAGATAGAAAATACAACAACTTGCATTGAAAGAAAAGCATCCTTCGCGTAGGATAATATCTCAGAGCCCTTCACAGTGGTGGGGTTGGATGCTAAGCAAGGGAGAAGGGGAAGCAGGAGGTGACCATAGCCACTGTTGAAGAGGTAGGTTTTAAGGAGGGATTTAAAGATAGAGAGGGATAGAGGCAGGGAGCTCCAGTGGATAGGGACATAACTCTATCATTGGCTTGTATTATTCAGGTCCCACAGTCTGCGAGTGAGAGGCCAGGAGACATTTCACTTCAATTGGATTTGGTTTTGTAGTGTCAAAAACGTACCTTCTTCTCCAATGTTTCCAAACATGACTGTAGCTTTTGAACAGGGTTTCCACCGATCTTATGTTCAAAACACCACTGATTTATCCAGGCATAGCCCTCTTGGGACAACCTTCGGGGAATCTGTGGGAGTGAATGTAAAATAAAACATGCTCAATTGTGCTGCATTCCTGCAAAATTGTTAATGTTCCTGTAAATCTTCCTGCCTCACAGATCTGATGGATAGACCTGTACTGAAATACTGGATTGCAGTAGAATGGAGAATTATGAATAAATGCCCATTAGACTGGTGGGAACGGAGGAAGATTTAATAATTTAATTTTTTAAAGATTTAATAATCCTCACACTTGATACAGAGTCTTATCACATCATCAAGGTATCTCAAAGTACTTCACAGGATTTACTATAAGGTCCAATGATTGTGTATTTATAAGCAAACATTGCAGCTAATTTGTGAAAAATCTATTTTATCTGGGGGATTGTAGGCCAGGACAGCAGTGAGAAACTCCTTTCTTTTTTCAAGTAGTGTCATGGGATCTTTAACAAGCAGATGGGACCTCAGTTTAACATCTCATCTGAAGGAGAGAACCACCAAGCATGTCCCCAGGACTGCATTGGAGTGTCAGCCTGTATGGTGATCTCAAAGTCCCAGCATGGGGCTTGAACTCACAACCTTAATAATAATAATAATAATCCATGCATTTGATATAGCGCTTTTCACGTCGGGAGGACGTCCCAAAGCGCTTCACAGAACACACTGTAAAGTGAATTGACTGTATATTTGTGGGCGAACGCGGCAGCCAATTGCAGATTAAAAATGACCAATTTATTATTGTTTTTTTTGGTTTTTGGAGGGATTGTGACTCTGACTCAGAAGCGAGAGTGCTACCACCTGAGCTATGCTGACCCCTAATTTGGCTGAAGTTGGTCAAATCTTGGCCATTCATTGGAGGAATCCAAACTTTATAATTAGAAATTGGACTTTAACAGAGTTTCTCCACACCATTCAGAGCACCATCCTGAAGCTAAGGATGTCCTATTGAGAATATTGCATTTGGGGTGAAAATTATGGCCTATGAAGTGTTAATTATCAGTGATCATAGCAACATTATCACTGGCTGCAATTTTTACTGCGCGATGTAAATTATAACAGTACAACCCAGATTATACAGTAGCAACAGAAATGAGGTGAGAGCCTTATTACGTGCCATCTACAAATTCCCATTATTCTTGAAGTTGCGGATGATTTGCTTCAAAGCACCAAGTTTAGTCATTCTTGGGTGATCAACTTTGACTGCTCAGCAGTTATACATTTCTACACAGTGTCCTCACTGAAGATACAAGCTGTGAAATGAAGACTACATCAGGTCTGAAGTAAATCTCTGAATAGATTTGCAGCTCTCATTTATATTTTCCTGTAAAATACACAATCACTACATCACTACAGGATTTACAGTAAATCCTGTGAAACGCTTTACGATGAACTCCCGATGTGGAAGGCACTATATCAAATGCAAGAATTATTATAATTTATTATATTATCAAGAACATATATCTTAATTTGTATTAAACACCTTTCCAACTTTTGTTATTAGATTCACTGTGGGGCTTTTTAATGAGTTGATTTTGTTGTTGCACAGACACTGGAAACACAGAAACATTGTGTGACATTTGAGAAAGGTTACAAACACTGAAACTATCTGTGTTCTTCTTTTTGCTGTGTACATGTACACACAGCCAAGAGCACACCAGCGGATATTTACAAGCACCGCATTTCCTTTCAAAAAAGAGGCAGGTAATATGCCAGCACATCAGTCAAACAGTTGATGTAATATCTTTCATTGTAGTGTAAACACTGCAAATTCATGTTCAGTCTGGAACTCTTCTGGGTCAATATGGGGTTCAAGTCATCACATTTCACTTCTAGGAATAGTTCTGTCTGTCTCAGCCAATTTAAATAATGCTGGCGTGAAGATTTGGGAACTCCAGTTCATACAGAACAAGTGCTCTTTCTTGTTTAATATCAGCTCAAGAAACTTGATAACTCATGAATTGAACCATGTTCAGTTTGACAGAGACACGATTATGTCAAGGAAGTAAACAATTTACCTGTTCTGACATGTCATTACTCAGATCTCAAAAGGAGTATCCACTAGCTGCAGAAATGTAGTCAAAGTTGTGGTTTTGATTACAAATGTTTCTTGATCTGAGAATATGTCTATTGCCCATTATTGGATCTCTATATGTTGTTTTGTGTTTTGGTCAGTTGGGTGTCACTCACATGTGGAAACTTATCATGATGCTAAAAAGAACCAGACTGAGAGTTTTATGCTTGCCAAGCACACACGGAAATCCCATGGCTGACATGGAATGTGCTCTCTCTCCCTAGAGAGATGTGCCCTGTTTACCTAATTCCAGAGAGCAGGTTGGCAAGAGCCAAGGCTTGGAGGCCCCAGAGTGTGTGTTAGGGAACTGCTGGAGTCTAACCAGCTAAAACCGCATAGCTTGCCAGTGACAGCAATGTCTGGCAAGCTTTCCTGCTGCTTGACCTACCCATTAGGACCACCTAACAATTAGGGTTTGGGCTTGCAGGGTAACAGGAACTAAATATCAATTTAATAATAATAAATTGGTCACTCAATCCAAGACTGTTTGTGGGACATTGCTGGGCACAATTGGCTGCCGATTTTCGCCTTCAAAATATACGGTCAATTCACTTTACAGTATATTCTGTGAAGCGTTTTGAGACTTCTCAAAGATGTGATAAGGTGCTATATCAAATGCAAGGACTATTATTATTACAATCGGATTCCCTGCCCCTACTGGACTGGCGCTTACCTCACCCCCAAAGAGGATAGTCCCTATATGTTGTGCACAAAGCAAAACAAGGGAAATTCTGCTTGAGAAACTGTAGCAATTACAATACACTGAAAAACCTAAAATTGTAGCATTCTGACTAATAAAGAGTTTGAAGCAGGTCGTCAGCAATGAAAATATTGTGACACATTCTAGTCCCGAATTTAAACAGCATTTTAGACCCCTGTGACTTTCTTTATTGATGTTATATTTTCACGGTTTTTGTTATATTTCACATAAGATTCATCACATAACAGCTGTTGGGATCTATAAAATCCTAACCTGCTATGTTGAGAAGGATCGCTACTATGGCTGAGAATATTTCTGACGTAACCTATCACCACCAGGTGGCACCGCACTCCTTTTTACTTCCTTTTCTGAGTCAGGCAATTTCTATTTTGTAAACTTTTGAGCCTCCATCAAGCTTGATGTAATATTTTTGTTAACATATTCCTTTCCCAGCGTCGATCTGCTGAAGAGATCTAAACAGCCAAATGGTCAACTCCCAGTCAATTGAATGGGATTCAAAAACAAGGGTGAGCACTGGGACCAGAAAAAGAAGAAACCCATCCTGGAGAGTTGTGCTGCCACCTGGTGAATAGCTTTCTCCTGCCTCAGAAACATAGAAATTGACAGCACAGAAGGTTCTCTAAGTCACCCATTTAGTCCCATTCTCCAGCCTTTTCTTAATACCCTTTGATGGAGCCCTGGAGCTCAGTGGTTAGAGCACTCGCCTCGCAAGCGAGAAGACCTGGGTTCTATTCCCGGCAGGGCGAAATGTTGCGCAAGTCTCCTTACTCCACACGCCTCTGTTTACCCAGCAGTAAATAGGAACCCAGTTGTTAGTCCCGTGCCTTCAGCTCCCCTCTCGACTCTCTACCCCCTCCTCGCTCCCTCCCCTCTCCCTGACCATTTCCCCCCTGCTCGGGTCCTGACCCAACTGTACAGCGCCTTGGGACGTCCTCCCGACGTGAAAGGCGCTCTATAAATGGAATCTTGTTGTTGTTGTTGTTAGTCGCTTTTCCGGGAATAATAATCGCTAAAAAAAAAAATAATAATTTGGTCACTGAATCCACGACTGTTTGTGGAACACTGCTGTGCGCAATTGGCTGCCACGTTTCACCCACAAATATACAGTCAATTCACTTTACAGTATATTCTGTGAACTGCTTTGAGCCGTCTAGCAGACATGAAAAGCACTATATTATATACAAGCATTATTATTATTATTATTATATTTTCTCCTTTTCAAATCCCTGACTGTCCAGAGCCTTGGGACATCCTCCCGATGTGAAAGACGCTGTACAAAAACAATATATTACAGATTAATACATATTACAGAAAAAAGCTCTATGAAGCACGTTTTGTGAAGCACATTGATGGGTTTTGTATTGTTAATGTGCTAGATCAAATGCAAGGATTCTAGTTATCCAATTGCTTCTTAAAAGCTAATATGGATTCTACTGGGAGAACAATCCACATTTGAACTACTAATAAGGGTCACCACAAATGTTACTCCTGATTTCTGTATTAACAAATTGACTTTATTGGAGAAGTAAATGTGCAACCATGAATCTGTAAATAACATTAGTTATTTGAATTACCTGTGACATCTCCTCAGTTACTATCCAAGATGGTAGCGACTTGCCTCTGATCAGTGCTTCGCATGTGACTTTCCTCAATTGGAAATAATTATCTTTCTTCATGTTTTCAGAATTTAATATTGACCACTCAGTACTGACAGCCTTCAAAACACATGTCAAAAAAGAAAAAAATCATTACTGAACTTGAAACGTTATAAATATTAATATTTATTTTGCTCAGCCAGATGTCTGACACGTGTGGAAATCCATCGGCCTACTGAAGAGTATCCAAACCAAATGATGCCACCTACACATAGACATTTCCCTGTGTCTGGAACGGAATGTGCTCCAGTGTTATAACTGCTGGACTTCTGTGCAATGAGATTCTGGATATTTTTCTCTAATAACCGGATATTATAAATAGTTAACAGATGATGCTGCGGGATGCATTCTCTCCCTGGAGGGACACATCCTGATTACCTACAACCAGATAGTTTTCGTCGCAGGTTGGTGAAACCTGAAGCTTGAAGACCCCAGAGTGTGTGTTGTGGGTACTGCTGGATTTTAAGCAGCGTGGCTTGCTATTGTGAGCATTGTCTGGTTAGCTTCCTGCTGCCAAACAATATTAGTATAATCGAGCATTGTTGGCACAAAGTCAATCCTAAAGGTTTTCTTCCTCTCCACCGCAGTTCAATACAATCTCTGCTGCCGGATCTTTTCTGAGACTTCACTTATTGTATCAGATTACAACTTCACCTCTGAACAATATCTGTTAATTATCCACAGTATCCAGTTATTAGAGAAACATATCCAGAACCTCAGTGCAGAGAAGCGCAAGAGTCAGAATACTGGAGCAGAAGACTGTCAACATGGAGAGCTACAGTGCTTTTGTTTTTTGCAATTTTCTCTCCTCCCTTCTCCCCCTAAAAGGTGTTAAACTTCTGCATCAGACGACACCATTATTAACGCTCTGAGGTGTTATCCCGTATGAAGGGCACTATATAAATACAAGTTGTTGTTGTAACTTCTGAGTTCATGGATGCCCAGTTAGTATCTTCTACTTTAATGAGCGTTGGGAGCCTGTTTCATCATGGGGAGAGGGAAAGGGAAATCATTTTTATATCAAATGTAAGGATTATTATTTATTAACTTGAACTTCTGATGACATAGGAAGTGCAATGCTTTCTTGCAGTCTTCAACTAACCTCCTGACAATACACAGTCCCACTCTCTTGACTGAAGGCAACATGCATTAAGTGGAAGTAGGATGTAATGGGAAGAAGAAAATGGGGTTAAAGACCTGCAATATTAGTGTGCCAAGAATGTGTAGGAACTAGGGCCCCTCTTAAACTAAACAAGTTGCAAATTTCTCTATGCGCTCTCAGGAGATCACAAAAGAGCCTGGCTGTGTCATGTTATGCAGTAACACCTTTGAAATGATTGGTTTCTTGAATAAACTGAAAGCAGGGCTACTTTACCTCCACTTTATCAGTCTCTTCTTTACTTTCATTGTGTAAAATAAGGTCACATTTTGGAGCAAAGCTGAGCACTGTCAAAAGGCAAAAAGAAAAGCATTATTTTATCTTTTGTTACTACGTCACTGCTCACCTTTATAAGTTTTTCCGTTTTCTTTAGCTTTGCTCAGAAAGTAAGCCAACTGAGATAACCATGATATCTGTAAACCAACTTCCAGAACAGGACACAAATACCGAGCAACACAAGATAAGGGAAGATAGAACATTTCAGTCCATTTCATATGGAGACAGTCCTTTGGGATTTGTGATCCAAGTTGCTCCCTTGTAACTCTCTTATTCAGAACCTTTTGCTTAGCTTGTTTGAAACAATTCAACTCTGAATTCACTGTGCTTTACAAGCTGTTAATGTGGGTTTAAGCCCACACCAGGAGTTTGAGCTCACAGTGTAGGCTGACTCTCCATTGCAGGTCTGGGGGAATGCTGCATTGTCCAAGGTGCCGGATTTCAGATGAGACGTGAAACCTGAGATCCCATTTGATCGTTCAGATGAATGTTAAAGATCCCAAAACACTATTCAAAAAGACATGGGGTTTTTCCAGGTGTCCTGGCCAACAATCCTCTAATATAATTCCAACTTTTAAAAAAAATTCCATTTTGTTAAAAATGTGAGAAGATCAGTCATGACGGGGCAGGTTTGAGGGGCCGAATAGGCTTCTCCTGGTTCTACTTCTTATGGTCTTATGGAGATGAAAGGTGTAATAACCACTCAGTGTAATAATCTATTTATCCGTCTGCACATGATGCTGATTGTAAGTATCGTAAGATATTCATGCGCAAGATATTAGTAAGAAATACCAAGATGTTCGCGCACAAAACTGGCTCAGTGGAGTGTGCATCCTTGGATGGTATTGCTATCAGTGCCTGGGGTGTGAAGGCGCTGACGGAAGCCAATTAGGAGGGCCTTGGGTCTTTTTGATGTCCAACTGTAGCTCTCATCCAGGACTTGATGTCTGACAGACATTCTATCAGGACAGCAGTGGTCCTGGAGTCAAGGATGGAGGCAGAGAGATAGAGATAGAATCATAATTCTGTTACCGTTACTTGGATAGCAAAAATCAAAAACAACGTTGTAATGATGGCGAGAGAGAGAGAGAGAGAGCGCAAAGGTTTCCACATCATCCCAGTACCTATGTGATGATGTCAAAGCGTCCGCACATGTATGGGGCATTGGCAAGTCAACTCGCTCCAATGTCACAACCTCTCATTACAAAGCTCCTGGATCTCCTCTATGCACAGCCAATGTAAGATCCAACTTGGCAGATCCATAACTAGAAAAAACAGCAATTTTATCCGAACTATCTTAGGTTCTTTTGAAGAGAGACTTTCCTCTGGATAGAGACAAACTATCTGCGGTGTTCAAATTTCTCAAAGTACAACGCTGATCTAATCTGTGACCGCTACAAGTAAATAGCTGCTTAGTATCAGACTTACTGAGCTGACTTTGCTTAATGTCATCCACACTGCGGTAGAGATCCTCTTCATCACTAGAACAAAGCAGGACAAGAGATCATTACAGTGAAACCTATCCACACTTGAGCTTGATTGGGGCTGATGTAGGAAACAGCAAAGTATTGCACAGCAAGGTAACCAAAAATATGTCACACATTTGTGTCAACTGAAGAAAGAAGGGAATTCCACTCTGGAAATACATTGAGTTGGATTGGTGTTCCCAAGTCTGTACAGCTGAATTTCTTCTTAATTCATATTAAGAATTACTACAAGATTCACCCCAGTATCCTTCTACATTTTACATGTCAGCCAATTTTTTGTTTGGTTCAGGTTGTGTGGATGCCCTTTATTCAAACCCTTAATAAAATCCTGAACTGGTAATCATGACTGATCACTCATGACTGTTATTGATGGAATGTTGGAACTACTGTAGTCATTAACATCAAGAAAGGAAATAGAAATATTTCCTCCCTCATATCCCATCCCAGTGAGGCTGACTGCTTTCATACCACACCACTTTCTCATAACTGCTAATGCCATCACACTGCACCCGGTGCTAAATGTGCACGATTACCTGCTTTTGATTTGGTTGGAAATAAAATGTGTGTTGGGAAGCCAATGTATAAGATGCACACAGCTTACCTACTTAGTTATTGCGCGGGGAGATCACAAACACAAAGCCACAACGCACAATTTCATGCCAGATCACACGTGCATCTATTTGCCCAAGATTTGGCACAGAATACATATAAAGAATTATTTTTGCATGGTTTGCCACCAGTTTAAGTAACAGAAGCAAAGTTCAGTGTGCTTATTCTCTATCTTGCTGACCCTTGACCTTTTGATTTTCATTTTGAGATGCTCTCGTCCATGTGCTCATCAACAATCTGTTATTGTTTAGGACAACCACCGCAGATCCACGCTGCTTATGCTATTCAGGGTCCCCTGTTTACAATGGTTAGTCAGTCACTAGCTTTCAGTCAATCAGAAAACAAACCATAAAAGACCGTGGGAAGAAAGTGTAAAAAGATGGAATGCTATGAGAATACCAATAAATATTACAATACCTGCCATGTTGTTTTGTGTTGTCAGTATCCCTCCACCTCAGATCCCCCTGGTCTCCTTCGCTCATACTTGTGTAGATGTCAAATTCTTCGGCTGGGTTGTCTACATACAGGATATCACTCCAAGGAAAATCTTCATCTTTACTATGTTCAATCAAAGCAGTAAGTCTTTTTTTTCCATTACTCTGGTGCAGAGGATCAACAAGGCTGGTAACAATGTGCTTATTGGCTTGATTCTCTATGAGCTTCCTAAGGTCTTCTGTCTTTGTTATACCAAAGGAATCTTCATTCGCTTCAATCGTTTGTTCTCCAGTAATGTTATCCCCTTTTCCCTCTTTAGATATTAATATGTTCTCAGGTAAGGAGGGATCTTTGCATATGCAATGCATTATCAACCCAATAACTGACATGATAATAAAGCAATACAATAGGTGATCTATTGTCCAGCATATTGCTTGGATTCCACCACACATCCAACGCAGAATCTCCACGCTGAGCTCCATGTCTGTTTGGGGGTGTGGGCAGGTTCACAACATTTTTTATGCCTGTAACCCAAAGGCAAAAACATTGCATTGCTGCAAATATTTAAAAAATTACAAAATACAATGATTATTTTAACACAGTTAAATCTGTGAGACACCTCCATGGTTACGCTACGTAAACATGATTTACTAGTTGACAACTTTCTGCCAATTCTGCATTTATATAGCGCCTTTATGTCAGGACTTACAGTACTTACGATCCAGACTTAACAGCACTTGAAGATCTGTACAGAATACAAAGCATTTACACAGAGTATTAAATATCTGTAGTGAGTACTAACCATCTGCAGGGAGCACTTAATCACCTACACGGAGTAATAAACATCTGCACAGCAAACCAAAGGACTGTGGTGAGTGGTGTGGGCACAGCCGTGTAACAGCAAGGAATAGACACACTCGAAAACTGGAGAGGGAGAGAGAGAGGGCTGCATCTAACTAACACAAAGTGAAAGTAAAAGCACTGCGATGGTGGTGGGGGAGGAGAGACAGGCTTGACATTTCCACTTTCACCCTAAATAGGCACTGATATCAGAGGCTGCACCACAAGTGGACACAGTAAAGGGAATGCTGGAGAAAGCACAGCCTTCCCACAGCTGTTTCCCAGGCAGCCCAAATCCAGAGACATCTGCATTTCTTTCCGTTGCCTTTTGCTTTTTTATTTTTTGGTAACAAAACCGTCATCAGATCATGGCTGTTTGCAGGAAGGGCTTGTGCTCAGTGACCTCCTGGACCTGTCCCTGAGACTCACCACCACTCTGTTTCTTCACCGCTTTGCAGCCCGGCCTCCAACATCCTCCTCTTGGCTTTCGTCTTTACTTTTTATTTAAATTCAAATTGCACAACTGCATCATGATTTGTGTATTGTCAGAGGCATTGAACGTTGACATTGAACTGAGCTTCCAGCTGTCTATCCTCAGGAGTATGTTAAAGATCTTGTGTTACTATTCAAAAGGAGGGATTTTCCCCCCAGTTTTATGAACAATAATCCTTTAGATCTCATAGCTGTTTATGAGACTGTATTGTGATCAGAATGACACAACTTCCTACAAAAAATACAATCAACACAATTGCCAATGTAAAGCAATTTGACATGTTTTGAACTATAAGAGACTATTCAAATGCAACCTAATTCTTTCTTGTTTATTTTCAGGCTATTTCAATCAAAGAATATAACTCATATTCTACAGATCTTCATTATCAGCCCTCTCTGGGTATATATATCATGCTATGAACTAAGTTATTGCAATCCATCTCAGTTTAGTTTGCATTCATTACATGTGTCTGCTATATGCAATTGTGAATGCAAGGCATTAATTTTAATTAGTTTTTTTAAATGTAGTTGTGCATTTTATCAAAAGAGATAAACAGACGTAACACAATGTGTGCACTTTCATGAGGCTAACAGGTATGACCACGGTATTTACTGAGGCAGAAAGAGCTATTTTGAGTGGTACTGCTCCACTTACCGCTTGCTTAATAGACCATCACCCATGGCACTCTGAATCTATTAGCATGCTTCTAGCACTCTGCAATCCTCTTCAGTTTTGAGATTCTATTTAGATTTGGCATTTTGAGGTTCACTTGCTCCAGGTAAGTGGCTTTTCGAGTTCATAATTCTCTGCTTTTTAAAATTATTTTTGCTAAATTGCAAAACGTACAATGCTGAAATGTAGCTAATGGTTTGGGTAAGTTTGGAGTGTAATTTTGCCACAGATACAGCTGGTGCTAAATATCACTCAAATTATTAATACAGGTTAAGTGCTCAGTTTCCAATTATTGAGCTGTTTCATTTGCATTGAATGTTCTACTAATGGTTGGGTTTTGCTTTCGGCTGCAACGTTGCAATGAACAGTGGAAAGGGACATTCTACTGATCGATAATTGTGAGCAATTCTCCTGTATTTACTTGAATCCTTAGTGGATTCAAACCCTATATTTTTCCGGAATAAAGTTGAACAGATCAACATCTGTATTGAAAAATAATAATCATCTTTAGCTTAATATTTACAACTTATCATGTCAAACGTCTCAAAGAGCTTCACAGAATTTTCTGCTCAGTGCAAGGATTATAATTTTTTTATCATCGGGCAATTTGGCCCTGCGGGGAATTACAAGACTGATTGTGTCCTCACGTCTGTGAAGACACACTTTCAACAGGGGTGACTGGCTTATCTCAGAGCACTGAGGCCAAGTTTTAAAAAATTAGCAACACGTGGTATTAGCAAATTTAAGTTCAGATTTATTCGTTGAGAGAACTTGTGTGATATGATATACTGTATATGCATTGCATCATTCATATCAATGTGCACAGGTGAACCTATAAGGGTGTTATAACACCAGGGCCAAGTTTCATATCTATTAATCTTCAGTAGGTTTTTGTAGGTAGATCACACAAAAGATCCCAAGAGAGGTTCAGATCAAGAATGTCGAATTACTTTGAGTTTGGAATTGTAGTGGAAGAACAGCAATAATAATAATACTTGCATTTGATACAGCACCTTATCACATCGTTGAGACTTCATACAAAGCTAGGTACAAGGCGACCCTGTTTTTGGATTACTGTGCTTTGAAATAATTCCATACAGCTCAGGTGGCTCAGTTGGAAGCCTTCTCACCTCTCAATCAGAAGGTTGTCGATTTATACCCCATGTTGGTATTTTGAGCTTTTAAGTCATGGGTGACATGGCATTGCAGTGCTTTTGATTGCTGCATTGAAACATTAAACCTTGGTCTCATTTACCTATTCAGGTAAACGTTAATGATCTCATAAAATTTGTCCATAAAAATTTGTCCATAAAAAAANTAATTTGTCCATAAAAAACCCAGTCATTCCACTTTGCATTCTATGCTGTGAAGCGCTTTGAGATGGCCTCCCGACATGAAATGTAAATGTAAGGATTATTATCATTTGATAAAAATAAGTTTTTCTGGTCTAATAGCTACCAATTCATTTCATGATAGTGTGTGTCATTGCTTTGTACAAATTCGCTGCTGAGTTTGCCCACAAAACATACAGTTTACAGAAATTACCTGGAAAGTGCTTTAACAAGTATTATATTAATTTTCCATGAACGTTGGTATAAACAATGTCTTCTCACCTACGGTTCTGAACTCGTTATCCTTCCCTGCCTATCCCTCACTGAACCTCTACACAACCTTGAGGTCAGGTTCGATCCCCAGTTACCCTTCCTACCTCACATCCGGTCCCTGACCTTCCTCTACTTCAAATGTTGCTGAAATTCTCATTCATTCTTTTGTCACCTCCCACCTTAATTAATTAATCTTTGCATTTGATATAGCGCTTTTCACGTCGGGAGGACGTCCCAAAGCGCTTCACAGAACACACTGTAAAGTGAATTGACTGTATATTTGTGGGCGAACGCGGCAGCCAATTGCGCACAGCAATGTCCCACAAACAGTCGTAGATTGAAAATGACCAATTTATTATTGTTTTTAGTTTTGGAGGGATTATTATTAGGCTCTGTGTGGAGTAAGGAAACTTGCCCAAGGTTTCGCCCTGCCTGGAATTGAACTCAGGTCTCTCGCTTGCAAAGCGAGTGCTCTAACCACTGAGCTACAGGACAGGACTCCTTATTGCAGAATGGATTGATTTCAAGATCTTCACGCTCACTTTCAAATCTCTTCACACCCTGGCATCTCTCTACCTCTCCAATCTGTTAACATCTCACTCCTATACCTGCCACCTGTGCTCACCTGGCTGGATCTCCTGAATGTCCCTAGTCCCCTTCACACTACAATTGATGTCGTGCTTTCAACCACAATGCCTGGAATCTCTGGAACTCCTTGCCTCAGTCCCTTCATCTTGCCCCCTATCTTTAATCCCACCCGATGACTTTCCTCTGCCGACAGTCACCTCCCTTCTCTTTCCAGCTCGGAGTCAAACCACACCGCTGTTAAGTGCTCCACGTAAAGGGTGCTATATAAATGCAAGTTGATGTTGTACAGTAGTAGCCTGCAAATACTGTATAGTGTCACTGTACTTTGTAGTAAAATCGTGCGAAATCGCTTTGAGACATTTTGACATTGTGATATATCAAATGCAAGGAATGTTGTTGGTCTAACAATGTCATTATTGAAAACTGCCATATATGGACAGTGAAGGAATATTGTATTTTAAAAAACTACATGAGGCTAACTCTGCACCAGGAAGCAAAGGTTTGTACCTCGATCTGGGAGGAATTTGCTGATTTCAGTCTGTTTAGTGGGGACGGATGAACATTGAGCTCAGTGACCCTGTACTAGAGAAGGCAAAGATCAAGTTGTAATCCTACGATTCATCATTATCCAGTGACCGGAAGCTAAGCAATCCACGTGAGTGGACTTAGCTGTGATGCATGGCTTAACAGGTTGCCCATCATATTTGTTTAACTGTTTAAGCTTGCATGACAGAAGAAGCATCTTGACAAGGGGTTTGGTGACTGTGGAACTGCCCCCACATGTATAGTTCCTTCAAAACAGGAAAGGAGAAAGCTGGGGAGGAATTAGCTACTGCAATTCATTCCCTGTCCCGTAACGCTCTGGAATAGGAAGTTAAACAATGTAGCTCAAACAAAACATTAATTATTCTGCGGGCCAGATGGGAAGAGGATATTAAGAATGTATTGAAAACAATACATTAGTATAAGTGATGGCTCAGAGAGCACAACTGGGATTGTTGTAATCAGAGAGCACACAGAGAATGTGTAGTTTGGGAAATGAAATGCAATAAAATGGCGTGAAGACTATAAATGCATTTACTTAAAAGAAACAAATGTCATTAAAATAACCCAGAGGCAACATTACTGCCAACCAAGCCAAGCTGACACCTGAGACCAAAACTAAAGGGTGCCTCTGGGATAGAGAAGCTTGACAGTGAGACAAACAATTCAAGGAAGTCCCATGTTTGATCCGAGCACAGTGCCATGTTTACTTGAACAGCACTGGGGTTGCTGTTATTGCTTCACTGTCTTCAAAACAAGGAGCAATATTAGCCAGAATCTCACTCCTGATGACTATCCAGAGACCCTACCCGAGGAGCACATGTTTGGATGTTGGGAGAAGGTGAGAGTATATTTGGGCAAGAACAGGCTCAGCCCTCCCACTCAAACCTTGAATAGCCTGTTGATGATCACTGTCAAGGTTTATACCAGTAATAATAATAATCCTTGCATTTGATAAAGCCTTATCATGACGTTTAATCATTTCAAAGCACTTCACACAACATACTGTGTATTTTGTGGGCGAAATATGGCAGCCAATCGCACACAGCAATGTCCCACAAACAGTCGTGAAGAGTCAGTAAATCGGGCAAGGCAATGGGATTGGAAGAAAAGCTTGCTCTGAGAGCCGTTGGGAGACTCAATGGGCTGTACTGTAAATATCAATGATTCGAAATGACCACTTGGGATTGCGGTCGGTCTCATTGAACCTGCCTTCAGGAGAAAAGGGGAGAAAATTGGGGGAAAAAAGAGAGGGACTATTGGCCACTTTAGATTAAAACAAAGAGAAGCAGACCGGCTGAGCTGATTAACCATATTTTTTAATGAGTTATTAATTTTTGGTGTTACTGCTTTCTCGTTGCTTTCCGTTCTTGCTGATCCTGGCTGAGGATGAAACTAGTGAAGCGAGGTGTCAGGCTGAGCCTGGGGGAATCAGATGGCCTTTGCTGGACGTCTGACTGTAGAGGGCTGACGTGCAAGCTTACCTATTGCTGCTCTCTGCGACTGCATGTTAATTGTATGTTCTGGCATTCAATATACTTTATTTTTGTGCTGGAATTGCCCATTCAGAGAAATATTTCAGAAATTGGTTATATCTTCTTCAAGCTATGTTACTTTTATTCTCTTGCTAAATGTTTGCCTTATTCCCCTTCCTACCTTGTCCGACATTCTTTTGTGGAGCCCTGTAGCTCAGTGGTTTGAGCAATCGTCTCGCAAACGAGAGACCTGGGTTTGATTCCCGGCTGGGCGAAACGTTGGGCAAGTTTCCTTACTCCACACGCCTGTTTATCTAGCAGTAAGTAGGAACCCGGTTATTAGTGGATTGGTGGGTTGCTTTTCTGGCGGTAATAATTCCTTTTTTAAAAAAAATGTAGTCACTCAATCCACGACGTTTTGCGGTACACGGCTGTGCGCAATCGGCTGCAGAGTTTCACCCACAAAATACACAGTACGTTCTCTGCAATATCTTTGCCTACACAAGGTCAGCCAAGCACACTCCAACCTTCACTGTCAGGAGGTCCTGGTCCACGAATAGGGTCCTGCCACGAACGCCACAGGCACCACTTGTATCACCTCTTCAACTATTTGGTACCAGTGGAAATTCACCCATCCGGAAAAAATATTTAGAGCGCGGCGGAACCATCCAGGGAATGGTTGGGAAACAGGGATCTGGTGCCAGGCCCAGGCCACAGAGAGTAAGCTTAACCCCCTTGGGTAACTCTACGATACTAACCCTGCTATATTTGATCTGCACTATAACAATTCTGAGGAAAAAGTATAATATGTTCCAAAGTCCACCAGGTGGCAGTCACTTCAGAACCAGTTTTATTGTTGGATTTCATTCTCAAGCAGTCAGATAGTCAGCTAGATCTGATACCTTACTACTCAATGAGAAGACCTCAGCAAGATAGCCTTCTGCTTTATTCTAAACAATTCTGTTGAGGTGTGCCTGGCAGCAAGGACAAAAATGGTAGTGGATGTGTGTTCAGTTGTTAAGGGGTCCTTGTTTATTTTCAAAATTAATCTCATTAAGGACGTAGGTCACAAATAGCAAGTCAGGTCACTTTTTCCTGTGGAACTTCAGTTATACCCTATTTGTACAGGGAAATTGAGCAAATGAGGATGAACGGGGAAGATTAGCATTTACAAAACATTAGCATTATCTTAGTTATAATAAATAATAATAAAAGTACTTTTGAAAGTGTTTCTGATATGGAGCTTGGCAGCTAGCACATTCCATTAGGAGCTTTGGTTATCATTTACTGGAAGAATAGTGTTTAGGCTTCTCACTCGAAACTGTATCCATAGCATGTCTAGGATCTTCTTTAAAGAAGCACCACTTTGTGGAAGTGTTTTGTTCACGTGCAATGCAAGATGCAAATCACACCATCAAGTCAAGCATGTTGTATGGGCTCTTCTCTTTTTATAAATTAAAAAATAGCATCTTTCGATTGTTTTCTCAGCGATGCCGTTCACGACTGCCCTCTTGTGCTGAAGTGCGCGAGCAGAAATGGATTCAGAAGAAATAAAAAAAATTGTGTTGCAGCATATGTTTAATTTGAAAAAAAAACAGATGGCAAAGAAAGTATTTACAGCACTATTTGTGAAACACTTAATGGATTCTGTACAAAAGAAATATACATGCAAAATTGATAAAAACTTAAAAAAGGAATTGAACAGGCTATTATACATTAAAAAATAACATGAGTTTGGCATGAAAATGCATCCAGTTTTGAGTTCCCATTTTTCTTCCCCAGTATTGTTGGTTTGCCAGTATCTCTAGATATAAGCAGACATACTGCAGAGTTGCATCTCCTGGGTTTGATGAATTACTGCTCATGCCCCAAATATACTCGACTGCGATGCAATTTCTTGTAGTTAGCCGGTTTACTGAAGAGGAGCACGATAAAGAACTCAAACGACTGTGTTATTCGCAGTACCAAGTACGTGCTTTTCTTTAATATTTATTACAGATACAACAGAGGTCTTCATAAATAGAGTTGCATAAAATGTTAAAGCCACAACATTGCACATGATATGAATTAAAACGTAAAATACAATGAGTGCATTTACAGTACGTATTCCTCCTTAACTGCTCTGCAATCTGATTGACAGGCCATGGTGCAACTCCAAAATCCCCCTCCTTAACAAAAAGAGAGCATCGATGGCCTGGCTGGGGGATGAGTGGGTGGGGGGGATGAGTTCCAGAATGGCAAACCATTAAAAAAATACAGACTGAAGGCAGATAACGGTCTTTATACAAGTAAGGCTTATATATAATCAGAGCAACACAACTTTTTTTCTATTATACGCAAAAGGTCCGAGGTTGAACTTGCAGCAGTAAACACTTGAGCCATATCTGGCTAAATGTATGGGATTATAATTTAAATATTGGTGAGGCGATCAGAAAGCTTTATGACCAGTAAAAATCAGGTGTTTAGTCTTATTATTCCATGGTTGCTTTAACAGACAACCATGTGGGGAGGAAAAAGAAAACTTGTTCTTTATTGGCTAACTTGTTTTTAAAATCACATCATTAACAGTTTCAAACTCCAGTGAGTTTTATTAAATATTACAACAATAATGAAGATTTGTTCTCTATGATTTCCTAGACAATGTATGAAAAGTGGTTTCCAGGGATTGGAAATAAAATACTGTCAAATATGAGAATCCAGCTGTTCGTGCAGAACTTGTTTTTCCTCCCCACCAGCATTGCATTCCATGGATGGCACTGGATCCCAAGTACTGTTTTTTGCAGGGTTCCTTGGCATGTAATTCCACACACTGACACATGTGTATAGCAGCTGATACACTCTTAGTTTTATTCAAGTCAACAGCTGATTGGCTGGAGACACCGTCCCCAACCTTGTTGGCAGGTGAAAGAGAATGAGTAAAAAATCTCCACTTTTAGGGTCACACTCTTGGCAAGAGTCTACTTTGTAAGAAGTTTTTTATGTTACCAACCGGTCGAACATCGTTCTGGTGTTTGCGCCGTTCAATGAAGGAAGTCAGTCGTGACGTGTTCAGAATTTCAGTACTTTTGTGGATGCCCGGCTGCAGCCAAGGCTCCTGGAGGCACACTGCAGCTGAGGGCCGTTTGCTTGAATCTCCCTGTAGTAAGAAACAAACAATATCTTTGGCAGCTTGACTGACGCCACTGAAATAGTCGTCAGGGAAGCTGAAGTCCAGCCGGCAGATATTCAAGCAGGTTTCCTCGACACACTCATCCAAAAACGGAGACACACCACTAAGGAGGACATAGGCAAGCACTCCAGTGCTCCACGTGTCTGAGGTAAGACAGGCAGAATTTCCTAAAATAATTTCTGGTGCTGCAAACTCAGGATTTCCCAGCAACTGATGAATGTAATACGCTGTAGTTAGCTGTTCGGCTTCTCCAAAGTCAGCAAGCTTGATGAGTGGTTTGGCTGAGCTGTGGTCTACCAGCACATTTTCTGGCTTTAATGGTTAGAAACATAAGAAAGATGATTAGTTTACAGGTAACACAGCAACTTGAGAACCTATGAAAATAGCTTTGCCCACTGTCAATACAGCACTATTAAGTATCTCAGATATAATGACTTGCAAAAACCATTTATTGTACAGAATTTGCACAACTAGTGCTAAAACATAGCTACAAGTTGAACCCTCAGGCTTGTAAGTCATAAGAATCATGCAACGGTACTGCTCATCCACGGGATATTACGGTAAATTTATCTCTAGTTCAAAATAACAGAATTAAAACTTACAAAGAAAGTGACTAACTTGAGAAGACATGAATACTAGTGTGGAGTATTGAGCTGGTTAAGTCTGAACGTTTGCAATGCTGAGTGAGTGGCATCACTAACCTTGATGTCTAGGTGGGCAATTCTGCAGTTGTGTAGATAGTGGAGGGCTTCCAGAGTTTCTCTGAGATACGATGCCACTTTCTCTTCAGTCAGATTCCCCCAATTTACTATATAGTCGAGAAGGCGACCTTGGTCCGCTCTAAAAAGTGGATGATAATGAATTACATTATTTGACAATTATACAGTATTTGGTAAGTTTTTTAAATAAAAAAAATCCTCCTTTTTGGCACCAATCCCAAATTGTGTTCAGGTAAGGTGACCTGCTGTCAGATGGCTCTCAGTGCTGCTCTCGAGGCCACCATAAGGAGGCGCTCAAGGGTATCCATGCTCTCTGTTAGTCCCTCTGAGTATCCCTTCTTCACCCCATTTCAAATATAGTTGGTACCATGCTTAAAAAACATCACTAACAACAGTCAAGATCACATCAATCGTATTGAACAATTAGCTTTAAAGAAACAGGATCTTTGTTGAAGTGTCCTCTGGATCCGCAGGAAAAGAAGCAATAGTGAGTGAGAAAGAGTGTGAGAGACTCAGAGGGAGAAAGAAATTTAGACTGTATCAGAGAGAGTATGAGAGATAAATTCACAGAGAGAGAGAAAGAAAGTTAGAAAGTCTGAGAGAAAAACAGAGATAGAGCGAGGGGATGGCACAGCATATGTAGTAGCTGTACTATAGTGACAGTATAACTCCTGATGGAAGTGTTTTTTGGTTAGTAATGAAGCCAATCTGTATTTCCCATGATAACTCAATATCCACATCATTTTCACATCTACAAAGGGGTGGCCGCAATTAGTGTAATGACCACCTCAAAATATTGCAGGTTGTCAATTTGACATTCAACATACAAATTGAAGCCAATCCATCACTGCAGGCAATTTTCATGGTTTCCAATCGACGTGTGAATGACAAAACACAAATAACTGATACACATGAAGATAGTCTGTGATCTGATCCAGGACATTGCCACCCTATATCTCTTTAATGTCTAAACTGATTGTCCCAAGGTAAAATGTTTTCATCTATAGCTAGATGTTTAATGACATTAGTTAAACAACACATATACCTGTTGAGTATATTTGAGTTTATTATGTATTACTAACCAGGATTTTTTTTGTATCTCTGATTAATGAATGGTTTTATTTTCTATCACCACGTTTAATAAAAATAATAATAATCATAATGATGCATTTAAACAAGGACAATCAGAAGCATCAGACAGCTATTGTAAACTATTATAATAATAATCCTTGCATTTGAGACAGCGCCTTATCACGCCTTTGAGATGTCTCAAAGCTCTTCACACAATATACTATAAAATGTAGTGACTGTATATTTTGTCAACGAATTGTGTAGAAGTTGTGCATACAGAAAAGCAGCAGGAAGATATATAGTACAGAAGTAAAGTCTGTATCGTTCTCTCCTTTGCTGGGCTCAAACAAGTGACATCTGCACACACAGCTGTTGCTGACACAGCAACTGACCCAAAATAGAAAAATCTCCTTCTCGTGTACGGGGTACGTTATAAATAATAAGACATCGGCAACTGAGGTCAAGGGTGTAATCCAATCTCCAGGAGTACAGAGAGTAATTGTAAAGTCTCAAATACTGCCTGCCGGCTTCGTGTCATCTGACCCATTCGATCAGATTACAGTGTCCTCTCTATTCGATTACAGTAGTCATGCACTCAGCTCCCAGCTATCGCTTACCTTGTAGGAATCGGGTGAAAAATGGCACAGAACTTACCCCAAGTAAAACGTGCTTTCAAAACTGATGTGCTTTTTGGAAAAAAAGAGCCCGTACACATAAAAAATGATAGGCTTTTCACTTTAAGGATCTCAAAGAAGAGCTAATCATGTGGTTTAGTTATCGTAGCTTGATATTGAGTTTACAGTACTCTGTACTGCACACACGAATGTTGCACATTTATTGGATGATCATTCTACATGAAGAGATAACCAGAACTAGACTTTTTTGAAATATCTGCTATTTATTTGCCATATGTGGTTGTAACTCAGCACTCTTTTATTGGCACAGGCCAATTTTACTCATGTATCATTTGTGCTGCTAGAGATTACAGGGAAGCTGAATGTTGCTGTATTGCACAATATGCTAAAATGTTATAAATCTGAACATTTGTTCTGTCAATCTATCTCTGTTAGCTAAAGGCAGTGTAAGCATAAATATTTTCAGAACTAGCCATTCATACGCAACTGAAACAGGCTTCAGTCTCTCACTAATGTATCTGCCTTTGTCCCTCGGCTACCACTAACCAGGAGTTGTAATAATAATAGTAATCCTTGCATTTGATGTAGCGCTTTTCATGTCTTCTAGACGTCTCAAAGCGCTTCACAGAATAGACTGTAAAGTGAATTGACTGCATATTTTGTGGCCGAAATGCGGCAGCCAATTGCGCACAGCAGTGTCCTACAAATAGTCGTGGCTTGAAGTGACCAATTTTTTTTNGAGGGATTATTATCAGTCCTTTGGAGTAAGGAAACTTGCCCAAGGTTTCACCCTGCTGGGAATCGAACCCGGGTCTCTCACTTGCAAAGTGAGTGCTTTAACCACTGAGCTACAGGACTAATGTACATTAGAGGATAATAGCGATCAATGTGAGACATTAGCAATTATACACATATTTCTCCTCATAACCTTTAGAAGTATGTAGCAATTCAGTTGAATATACATTCCAATTAAACAAACCAAAATTGGGAATGAAACACATCAAGAAGTAGTGTTTTAAGTAGTGTTTTGACGACATTTCAACTTCTGAATTAGTCCACAACTATTAGAGTTCATATTGTGACAATTCAATTATTGAATGTGCATAACCAAGGCTGTTTTTGAATTGAATTGGACCTAGCAATCAATATGCGCATTATGTGGACAGTAGTCAAACGTAAATAAATGAATGTAATAAATAAATTGTAGAAACACAAGAGATTTTTTTTCAAAAAAGCTTGATGGGAAAAAACTGCTTTTGTAGAAATAAAAGATTTCTTCTACTTGGCTCTGCCTGTTTCTGTTGTGAGCTGTGGGTGGCACAGCCTTCTAACAGAAAAGAAAAATCTAGAACTAATAGCACATCTATTTGGCACTGAGTACTATTCATGAAAGGTGAGCAAAAGGTGTTTTGTCAGATAAACCCAGTGAAAGGTAAAATGAAGAAATCTTCACTCACATTTCGAGTATAAGTATATAGTTGGTTGACGTTTCAAAGGTATCCAGAAGGCCAATAAGCTGAGGGTGCTGGAGATTTTGCATGATCCTAAGCTCATGAATAACCTGGTCCCTTTTCATCATTTTTTTGTTGATGAGTTTTGCAGCCACCTCTCGTTTAGTTCCCTTCTGGTCACATCTTTTAACCACAGAGAACCTTCCCCTGAAACAAAAAGAAGTTTCCATCAATTTAACGGCACTCCAACTCACCAGTGACTATTCACGTGCAGAAAACAATGATTTATTTTAAAACAAATGTAATGTAAACAACAGTCATTATGGGTTAACTATATTTGCTAGCTTAGGGGAAAAAAAACATGTGCACAAATCAATACTACCATAGAAACAGTGGACCCTCCAACCCTTCTCAAAAGTCCTTTCCTTATAATTGACTGACTTTTAAAACCCATACTTGATGCTAATTTACCACTCCTTGATTTTTCCCATCTCTTCCCCTCTCTTCAAACAAAGTGTGGTCCTGGGCTATGGGGCTTGGCTTTTTAATCTCCGCATCATAATAAAATACTAAAACAGACAATTTGAGATGCTGTTCACTTGCAGAAATCTCAAGCACTAAAACATGTCAAATTGTTGTTATTTAAGTTATTGACTTATGTGTTATATACACTGCAACATCAGACAAGTTGAGTTTAGGAGATCCTTAAAGATAGGACTAAAAGTTGGCACAGAACAACTTTGCTGTAGGACCTTCAGTTCAAAAGATATTGTCTTCAGCTTCAAACTCCAACTCCACCTTTACTAGCTTTGTGGTACAATGTCCAATGTGAAAGTGCTAAAAAATGTTAATTTGTGTTGTATTGCACTCCACTTCCCTGCACTGAACATAGTTTAAAACAGATGTGTGTTTAAAACTCAAATGTTTCAGTCACAATCTCATTAATATAACTTATAGAAATATAGAAATGACAGCAGTGGAGGAGGCCATTCAGACTATTAATTGTATACTGTGCTGGCTCTACCGCTCCAGCTGACAAATCCCAATTCCTTCCCTAGACTCTATATTTTTCTAATCTTTAATCAATTCTATACTTATTATTATTACTATTATCATTATCATTAATTCTCTATTTAATGGTGCTATGGCATGTGCCTCCACTCTCTTCATGGCAAAGTAGCCACTGTTTTAATAACCCTTTAGACGAAAAATAATACATTACAGTATCTACATCCCTTAAACAATAATCTCATGTACGAACTATATGGACTATTTAATTTTCATTCTAATCAATATGAAAGTAACTACTTAATTTTTTTTTAAAAAGCCAAATATTTTTCAAAGTTTTATCTTTTATCTTTTAAATTACCTTTTTTATCTTCTTTGCAGTAGTTCTCAGATCTACAGTGTTTGTAGACACATGCATCAGCAATTTCTGTTATTGGAAAAGCCCTGTCTGAAAACTGTGAAGGATTATTCTTTATGAAATGCCTCAACTGCTTATTAAATGTCAATGAAACATCAACAGAGTGCTCCTCTGGATAACACAATTTGCCACTCATATAAGCAACTGACAGTAACAGATTAAAAAACAGGCCATTGCAAATTCAGAGAAAGGAACGTGCAGGGAATGGTGATGTGGAATGGAAAGTTACCTGCCAATCTCTGCTACCTCAGTGTAAATGGAATCAAAGTTATCTTTCCAGATCACATGGATTCCATCACTTCCAGGTCCTGAAGACAAAACAAAGAAAGTAAAATGTTAACATACCCATTAATCAAGTAAGCTCTTTTACAAATTAAGTTCCTCTCAGCTTTCTACGTGGAAGCGGCCATTGGTTCTGAGCATACTCGGTGGACTGTTGCATGTTGTTATTCACCCACTTAATCAAAATGAGACAATCCTTCTTTTCTCCTCCGCCACTGTGTTTGTCTACACACTGAAGAGCTCAGTGTTAATAAGTGAGCACACGCACTGAGTACGGGATGGACGTGGCTTAAAGTAATTACTTGAGTGACAGGCATTTTTTTCTCTTTGGCCAACGATTCTATTTCCCTCTGCACAGTTTCACACGGATAACAGATCAGTGTCAGAGCCTGAGCGAGGCTGAGTTACTCCGATAGCATCCCCTGCACCTTCTCTCTGCAACAGGAAGAAGGAGCGGAGAAGTGCTTACTGAAGACTTTCTGGTGGTCAGGCACAAGGGAAACAAAAATGCATTCAAAACCAGTAGTCAGGGGATCAGCAGCATACAGGAGCACGACAGGATTGTAACACATTTACAGCAGTGTGACAGGTGTACAAGAAGCACTATGTGAGGCTGGTTAGAAAGGTGGGAAAATTCGGAAAAGGCATCACTGAGGGGAGGATCATAAACTAAATGATGTGAAAAGAGATAAATAAAGGGTAGATATCACTGTACATTCATTTGTATTTAATTGAGTGCTGTCTTTCTGATACTTTGCAGCCTAGTTATAGCATGGTGTTTGGATACATAAAATCCCATCCTGCATTACAGTGCAATAATGGGTTTTAATGATCACAGTAGCCTGACTTGTTTCCTTTGCGATGAAAGAAAAAAATTGCTGACTTCTCTCTGATTCATCAGGACACCGCCATTGCATTAATATAACACCTTTCACGTGCAGAGGGCTTTCCAAGGCACTGGACAATCGAGGGTTTGCATCAGGCAACCTGATGACCCAGAAATTGGCCATTTTAATGCCAGTGGGCTGACAGCACACACACACAAATAGGTTTCTCAGTGCAAATGTGTAATAGGCAAATTCATACTTTTGTGATGCACACTATAATAAGGCTGCACTTTATTATGATATCAGCTTGGCTCAGTGGCAGTACTCTTGCTGATGATGAGTGAGTGGCCAGGTATGTGACCATTTGAAAGACACTAGTGTCTTTCAAATGGTCTGTTCTGATGTTTCCTGACAAGAGCAGTGCTAGATGTCAGCCTTGTCAAAGACAAGCCTGTAGATAAAAGCGATTCACAAGAAAAAGAGAAGCTTCAAAATGCAGTGAAAAACTGACCTAGAACTCTCAGGATTGCAGAGGAGGAGGCTGATCCCACATCATTCACAGCTATACACGTGTAAGTGCCATCATCTTCAGTGCTCACATTGAATATCCTGAGCGTGGTGTCACCAGAATCACTGTAAGTCACAAACATAAAAAGATTGACTACAATGCTGGTAGAACAACTGTCTCAAGGAAACAGCAGTGAATAACAAGTATTGTTCACAGGGAACTTGGAAGAAATTAGTCTTAGTGCCTTCAGGAATCAGGTCGGGAGTGATGGAAGATGAAGAAAATCAGCCAAGGCTCTTGATCCTAAAAAGTGTTCCTGTAAACGTTGGTTAAGAGAGGATCAGCCTTGCTGTGATGTCCTCTGTAATTGAATACTCTGCTGAAACTCACTGGCTAGGCTCAAATACAGTCATTTGGGAGAGGTACTAGAGGATAGTTGGTACACGGGAATTATACCCCAGGAAAGAGTCAGCGACATTAAGGAGAAGAAATACTAAGGTGACCTTTACCTGTACATGATGCTATAATGCCCATCGTTGCTCAGCGTGCTCTGGTCTGGGGCCTTCCAAGTTATTGCAGCTTTGGGGCGACCACAGACTCGGCATTTCAGGGTGACCGTCTCCCCTGCCTCACATGTCACGTCTGTTAGTGGGGTGAGAAACTCAGGGGGAACTGGAGAATAAAGCAGGTCATTTATACAATTAGTCCGTGAATGCAGAACATGTGAAATACATAAACAGCGATAATCTTTGCATTTGATATTTCGCCTTATCACTCGGTCAAGCTGTCTCAAAGCGCTTCACAGGAAAAACTGCAAACCGAATTGACTGTGTAATTTGTGAGTGAAATGCAGCTGCCAATTTGCGCACAGCAATATTCCACAAACAGCCAAGGTGTGAGTGACCAATTTTATTTGGGGAATAGTTGGCCAGGATACCAGGAGAAACTCCCAGTGCAGTCTAATTAGCAATGTTTTCAAAATGGATGGGAATTGCTAATTTGCAATTTCTGTTGAATTTGCAATATTTGAAAATGGCAGGGAAGGCAACAAAACCTAGCAAATGAGAGAACTGCAGTGCCTATGAACTGATTACAAAATTAAATTGACCTGCTTCAGAGATGGGTTTACTTTGCAGAGAGGGAAGGTTTTCAGTCAATACCAAACCATCAATGCAATTGGAAGCAGAGTCAACCTCATGGCAAACTCATCTAACTGAGCCCCTTAATTGAGGACCCAGATTAAGTAGTTACTGTCCACCAGGCACGGTAAAATCACTGACTTGGACATCCAGAATGCTAAGGTAGGTGATACTTAGCAAATTAAATGTCTCCTTGCTGAAAGTAGATGTTTGTTAAAAACTGACAAGAAATCTCTAGTTGGGATATTTGGTCAAACGCATTATTTAGGTCTTTTGTTGTAAGCATGCACTCTTAGACCTAAGATTCACTTTACATTTGATCATGTCAGTTACTACTCACTCCATGGCACACATAGCTGCAGAGGTTTTAAAACAAAATGTCTGACTTCTGCTCTGAGAAATGTAGAAACAATTGAAATAACTCACCGTCATAAATATAGTTGGGGTTCAGGAGCTGAAAGGAAGACAGAAATAAGAATGGTTCATTCCCTGTTCTAATAATTTAGGACTCAATTCCTGAGAAGTCTGGTGTGATTGAACACTTACGAAGCCCCAAATTCCTCATGGACCTATGCTTAAGTGCACAGTATTAAGATTTAAATTTTGGATTATTCTTACATTCAGTCTTAATTTTTCTGTAGTTGTTTAAAAAAAAGACCGTGAGGAATTTCAGCTCTCATCAAAATTTATTTTCCATCTTCAATTCTGGGAATTGCAACCATCAGACTTCTTACAGTTATAACTTGTCTGCCCAGCAATTATTTATCTGATGATCTCTAACTGAATAGTATACAATGTACTGGGTAATGGGACCTTTGTTAACTGCAAACAACATTCGGCAAAACATTTGTTTAGCCATATTTTTTATTCCCTACATATTTTTATGGAAAACCTGATGATCTTTGTGAATTGGGTCATTGCGTATAATTATCAGTGCGGGTTTCAACTAATTCAATAGGTACTAAAATATGTGAGTACCATCAGCAGGTTAATAGTTAGACCCAACTGTATAGGTTAGGTCCATAAAATCAGACCCTGCATTATAATAGGGCATGTTATAAATATGGCCACCAGTCAGTGCTTCCGTGTTGTTAGGTCATTGCTGACGTCACTAAACTGTGCTGCTCACAGAGGATGCTAGGATATCGCTGATGCTGGGAGTCCCTCCGTGTCTGCGCTCTAAGCACAGGAAGGCCCTAGTCCGTGACAGCAGCTGGAAGTATACCCAGATTATACATGAATACAACATAACAGTGTCCATCCAACTGAAGTCACAGTGCTACTGTAAGGTTAGCTAATAAAAGTCCACAAAAGTTGGACCTGTTTATGGCACACTCCTACACTTGAGAGAATTTAAAAGACATGAAGCTGGTGAGTCAGGTTTTATAGCACTTAGACTAATTGTACTGAGACAATTTGTGAAGAGTGCTAATTATAACCCCTCTCACTGCAGGATATTGCTAAAGAACTTAATGGGTCAGTTTTACAACGGTCAATCATGTTATGCAAACCCACTGTTAAAGCTGAGTTAAAGACTGTGTGACTGGGTTGACCACTTAGCAGATAAGTGCCAGGTAACTCTGTCAACGCATGTATTCCACTTTTGAGCTTCCCATGTCATGAGAAATTGCAGTGAGAGGGCTTTTTGGAGAGGCTTGTGATTTGTATCAGCGCTGGTCAAACTTAAGAGTTTCCTGCTACAACTGTGTGTCCACCACCGAGGACAGGAATGGTCAGAAAATGCCTGAGAGGATTAGGGGTAGAGGAGTCACAGCTCAGTGAGGGAAGTGGATAAAGGGAGGCAGAGACATCTGCTGGGGAGGGTAGGAGCCAGGGGTGGAGAAAGGGGGGGGTGAGAGAAATATTGACCAGTGAGAGCGAGAATAGTGAACAAAGGAAATTAGAAAATGGTTGCAAGAGAATATGAAAGGGTATAAGAAGCGAGCAAGAAAATTAGATTTGACTAGAAAACTACCAGGGCAAACTCAAATTTAGGTGGGAAGAAGGTAGGAGAGGGTATAAGGTCGGTGTGAGTAACCCAAATGCATGAAGCAAGAAAGTAAAGGTAGGGAATGTAGAGTTAAATCAATACGGTTACCCTGACACAGAGGGTGATTGTAAACAGGCTATTTGGCCATTAAGGGCCATAATTCAACCCATTCCTGCCCTCACCCAATACTCACATCAGACAAAATTTCCTGCCAGGCTGCTGGCGACCAAACAGGAGTGAAAATCAGGGCATTTTCCCCCTTTTATGGAATACTGAGGCTGCCTGAGGTTCTGAGGCTATCAACTTCTCAGTGCAGCCTGGAGATCAAAGCTGGAAACTTTCACAATATTGAACAAGCCAATTGTGGCACCTCTTTGGCTGCTCCATCTGAGATCAGCTAACTCAGTAAAGTCTAGATTTGACCTTTTATAAAGCATTTGATAGTGTTGTTTTACTCTTAACGTTAGTGGAGAATCTATTCTCACCGTCCATACAATTGCCTGTCCGTTTCACAAGAAACCGAACACAGAACGTGTGTTGAGACACAGGATTCTGAGTCTTTCTCTACAAGCAAGTAGTTCCAGCTAAAGCCTGCTACAATGCCTACCTTAACTGATACCTTATTGGGTAATCCTTCTCGTGACTTTCGGAAGCCATTTTCCAGCTTTCCTTCTTTTCTGCCCTCCTTATCCTTTTTTTCATTCTTTTTTCTTAAACGGAGAGCAGTGTGCCAAGACGTTGACTTCCTAATAGAAAATTGGATTGGAAAAGGGGGGGGGGGGGAAGAGAAGCAACAATTAAGCACCTGCTTTGTATTATTGAACTACGAAAAAGTTCACTGGTAATGAGTACATAAAATACATACTATAAAGAGGAACCTCGATTATCCGAGACCCGATTATGTGTCATAGTCTCTGACGGTGGTGAGACAGGACAGGGCAAGCGCAGGACTTTCTGAGAGGAAATGCTGGGTCACAGCCAGAGCAGCAGTGGGTTAAAAAGTTAGTCATTTTGCATGTTTTTGTGCAATCCGGTGTTTAAACAGTCAATAGAGAAGAGTAAAAGCAGCAATTTTCATAAATTACATTTCCAGTAACAGGTGCTTTACTGAACATACAGTGAACCAATTCAGTCATTACATTAGGAAGATAATCCCATCTCATACAGTTGAACCTTAATTATCCATAGGTTGAGGGGAGGTAGAGAACTCTCTGTTAAGGAGATAATTATGGTTCACAATTTGACAATAGTTTAATCGACAAGTTCAGGCCACGGCATAGACGAATATCATGGTACTTGCTGTACGGGTATGTAATGGCTTGTTGATGAAATAACTGATTTGTTTTCTTTCTGCAATCTATACCATGATTACATAAGATATGAAAAATATTCTGTGCTGCATGTAGAAGATTGTAGAGGTTGCACTTTGAAAATTTACAGAATACCCCACTGGATTGCATTTGCAGAGTAGTTCTGATGCATTGAAGAATACAGCATTCGGAAAAACCCACTTCACGTCTAATAAAGCAACTAATTAGTGGGTCACAAACTGAATTGCAAGTGGATTAACCATCACAGCACCGTGGCCAAGTTAACTTTTCTGGGCGTGATTGTCTATTGGAAGGTTTATTCGTTTGCAGATCCTACTTCTCGCTTTGCTGCGATGGCAGTCCTCAGTCCTTCAACTTTGCATCGACTGTTCAGCCAATTAAAATACTATTTTAAAAATAGTTGCCACTATTTCAAAATGGATGTCGAGAAGAGACAGCAGAAGAATTTTAAAATAGCAGCTTTCAAGGTTAGAAGAAAAATTAACAAAACTGAAGAGATAAGGTAGGGTAGAAATAATAAAGTTCAAATAAGAAGGGCCGAGAAAAAATAGAGGGAAAAACAGGAGTAAGCAAAAAGGGTGATAAGGCTAACATTTTGGTTCTTATTGATTTCAAAAAACATATTTTAGTAGGTTAGGATTAATATGCAGCACCGAAGTTATCCTGAGACTTGAGTAGCTTTACTACAGTAATAATAGTGATTTTAAAGCAAATAAAGTATGTGAGCTGACAATTTACTAAATGAACCGATTGGTCCGGGGAAACGAACGTTTCTGCAGACCTGCTGATTTAAGAGCCTGTTGCAGAGCGAGAAATGACCGCTTAGCCAAGTGCCAAATGAATCCCATTTTAGAAAAGGCCAAGTCCAACGTATCTGATGCAAAGAATCCAGTCCATTTTTTCTTAACGAGAACGTTTTGTGCAAGATCCAGGAAAGTATACGAAACAGAGTAACTTAAGTAATGCAACCAAAATACAAACGAAGAGAGACTAACTTTAGTGTTCCTTCAGGGTTGTCCGGGATTATTATAGTTGTGTGACCTAGTACATAGCCAGGAATCCATCCCTCTGCTGCCGGGCACAGGTCAGTGGCTGCCCGAAACACCAGAAACATGTTCTGTTGGTTGCTGGCCAGGATCTGCACTACCTCGCCCTGGCAGACATTGATCTCATCCTCTTTCACGGCGGTGTAATCATGTGTTACCAGCATGGTGGAGATATTACTGCTGCTGCTACTTTCACTCTACAGGGGAGGATGAAACAAGGTTGGAAAAGTGAAACGCGTTTTTAAAGCAATCACGGAATATTACAGTTTAAAAATGCAGTGTGGTCACATAGGCATGGGTTGCAGTTTTCATTTCACAAAAGGCCTCGCTTCCACACCCCTGCCATGCCGACAAGTGATAGCTTAAATTTGTAAGCTTTGACATTAGTGGCGTGCAACACTTTTAAATAACGTGTGTAGTACTATTATTTTTATTAGGCTTACAGAAACAGATACAAGTACAACAAACTGACATATAAAACATTCAGAAGGAAGAGAGCACTTTGGAAATGGTTTGATTAGTTTCTAAAATATTTCAGTAGCAAAGGGAAAAGGTTTTACCAGAATGATGCTGTTTTTCATAGTGGGGGGGTGGGATTAACCTGCGAATGTCCTACCTCTCCAGGGTACATGGAATTAGCTCCTTTACATCAACTTCGCTCAAGACTACATTTACATTTTCAATATAAAGACAAGAAACACTGCATTTTGGACTCTACGCAAGTTTTTTTACTCTCCTTATCAGTGCCTATAGACAATGAAAGCTTCTCAATTTAAGACAATCCCAAGGACTCAATTCTCAATTCTTCACAACAAAGTGACCTCCCCTCACATGAACCAAACTTACAAAATAATAAATAGTAGCCCCTATTTTAATGGTACCAGCCCAGCTCCAAGACACAAATAAAATATCAAAAGGTAAATGTTTCTTAAACAACACACGCGGAATGAAAAGGAGTCCATCCTCTTGAAATCTGCAGTCAGATTGGGTAATCCGAGGGATAGGAACAATCTAGTTCCCTTGTATAATATGCAGTACTTGTACCGTTATTTGTAGGTTATTTTGAAAACCATTAAGACTGGTTAGGTTTGGTTGTTTCATTTTGTTCTCTTAAATCAAATTAAAACCAGTAGGGACTTGCTGGGATTCATGGATGCAACATCAGGATGCCTTTACTCACTGTCCGACTCAGTGCAAGTGAAGGTAAGGCTACGAATGAATAGAAGACCAGAGACTCTGCTGCCACTTCTGATAGTTTACGTGCAACACATTTGAGCAAAAAATATCTGTCCACCTTGCACCTCAGTCAAGAGGCTGTCTTGGCAACCTGCTCCCAGGCCTCCATCAGTATCTTTCTGTAATTGATTGGTGAGACATAAAACGCAGACACCCACACTCTGACATTTATATCACTCTTTGTCAGACTCTACTTAGCATGTACTCCCACCTGGGAACCATTTGTCATTAGGAAAGCAGAGGCATGTGTCATTACATTGTACTCTAATAACACCAACACAGTGCCACTCAGCATTGTCCACAGGGAGAGGCAACGTGCAAACTTGTTAATCCAATTTCTTGTTGTTGAAACAAAACTGTCTTCACATTTTCCTATGTGTTTTACCACAGAGAAGGTTGCTGAGAACATCAAAATATCATTAGGTTTGGAGGACATCAAAACAAAATCTCCCCAGCTTTCTTCAGCCACAGTGTTTTCACAATCTCATTCCCACCTACATAACAACTTGGTGCTACTAAGTACTCTGCATATTAACTGTAGGGTACACAATATTGGCATACAAAGTATAACATTTCCGACAAAACGAGTACAGTTGCCCTGCATTTCTGACAGGAAACACACAATTTCAAACAAACATAAATAAAGGGGCGGAGGGGAGGGAAAGAAAAACAGGACGACTTAAAAGACCAGAACAGAGAAAGTGAAACAGTAGAAGATCACAGTTTCTGTGTTGTGTTAGCATCTGTCGATCATGCAGCAAGGAGCATAGAATTTGAAGCCAAATAAGATCAATACAGCAGAACGTAACATCCTATCAAAATGCCATGCTAGGAAGCTGAAGGAACATGCAATCCTTCGTGAGCATGCAAGAGGGTAACTGAAATATTAACTGGGCAAAAATAAATGTAAAAAAAAACGCTTCTAAGATTTTTGTCAGATTACTTGAAACATTTCTCAACCTGATAATTTGCACTGTAATCCATACAATGTTTCTAGCCTGAAGTATGATGGAAAAATATATTCTGGATCAACATTTGATAAAAATTGCTTTTGCTGTGCCCCAAATCCATCAGGAAAAGCAATACAAATTTGGCGAGATGCTGGAAACAAAATGTAGTCAGAAAAAGGCTGCGGTAAGTCTAAAATTAAATTAATCAGACGGAGGCTGTCAGACCATATTGGCATCCTTAGCACTTTCAATGTCTTACATTGTAAGCTGGAGAGTTTCTTGAACAGAGGACTCCAAATGTCAGCTGCAGAAACTGGGCTGAATAAGATGGGGGTGATGCATTGAATCGGCAACTGGCAAAAGAAAAGAGTTGCAGCTAGCAGTTTAAAGTAGCGCTACCAGTCCAGAGAAATGCCCCGTTAATATATGCAGTATGCTGGTCTATAAGGGAAAAGGGAGAAGCTGTAGGGTTTTTTTTTGCCAAAAGTTGAGAAGCTACAAGTTTGCAAGTGTCTGCATTAGCTGTTATTTTGCCTTCTGTTAGGGAGGCAGTTGCAGGAGCAGTGGTTAGTAGTAAAGACTGGCAAGTGTTGTTTTTAAAATCTTGACAGGTAGACAGTCACAGCGATGAGTGGTTAGGCAATTTGCTTTTAAAGTTTCGGAACAGAGCAGTTTGTTTCTCAAGAGCCAGGAGGAATTAGTACGGAGAGTGATACTGACGCACAGAAGGAGAGCGTGGGAAGGTTTTAGAGGAGCTCACAGGACAGACGTGCTCCGCTCTTACCCCGTTGCTCTGGGTGGAATGCACCGACTGCTCGCTGGTCGAGGAGCATGTGCTCATGCGATCAGTGTCCTTGCTGTGCGTGGAGTGACGGTGGACCTGTCGCTGCAGCGAGTCCGTGTCCCCAGGGAAGGTGAAGGAACCGGGGCGACTGGCTGGTGAAGCTGGGTGCGAGCTCCAGAAGGAGCCCTTAAGAACTGGACTGCCAGGAGGAAAGGGCTCTTTGCTGAAGGGAGAGGAAGGGAAGGTTGTAGACAGCGGTGAACTCAAAGGTGATGTGGTTCCTGGACGTTGCTTCCCTAACGTCAGAGAGCCCACACTGCCTCTCGGCGAACGGTTCTCTTCTAGACTAACTCGTAATTCCTTCAGATTTCCTTCTCCTGCGTTGGTTAGTGTTTTCCTGGGGCTCTCGAGGACCTTGGTCCTGGGAATCTGCTCCGAGTCTCTTTCGCAGCCTTCTCGCTCCAGGTGCCTGTCAGATTGGCTGCAGCCAGAATCTAAGGTGCTGTTGAGTGTCGTCGGGGGAGGGTTGCGAGGAGACATACCTGTCAACCTGTCTGCCTCGGCCTGGGCTGAGGCTGCAGAGGAGACCAGGACTGGGGAATGGTGACGGATGGGCTGGGGGATCCGAGATGGTCGAGAACGGCTTGTGCTGCTCCCACCGCTACAGCTATTGGGTCCACTGGGGCCAACGTGATTCCTCTGATACTCAATCGGAGATGTCAAAGCTGAAGCCAAAGAAAGTTACATTAGAAAAATAAACCTTATGGGACAGAGGACCTCTCGAGAGCAAGTTACACTCAGGCAAATTTAGTTACTTCCTGCCTATTTGAGAGCGGTACTACTTTACGAGGAATAATACAATTTTCTTGTCATAACTGGAAGCATTACAAAAATAATATCTTACCGAAGATAGGTGTCATTTTGTAGCGCATTTAAACGTCTGTTTAAAGAAATGCTGAAATTGAGGAGAATTGTGAAACATGGAACAGTTAAAGTGATTGACTTAAGACAGGGCTGTCTTCCTGAGACACTGCAAGTCAGGCTGTTGCAGAAGGTTTCAGGGTGCTCTTAGCTAAAGCTATAGGGGATGATTTGTTACAAGTTTCAGCAGCCACATTTTAAACTGCCACAGAACCGGTTTCATAATAAAATATTAGTAATGGATCATCTTTTACAGACTTACATTCCTGCACATTGGAAAGGCTTAATTGTGATCATTCAGCAACAAACACACTATGAAACAGAACCACAAGACAATTACCGGAGAGCACTGAACAAAACACAATTTTGTTATCGTTGTTTTACCTGCGTTTTGGAATAAGTGGCACTAGAAATTTTTAAGAAATGTTGACATTGAGTGTCAAACATATGAACAGTTTCTTAAATCCAGTCATTACTCATATCAGTCACAATTTAAAATCTAGATTTTCTTAAAATGGATCAGTTTTTTTCCTTCTGACTGGAGTTGTCATCTTATCTTAATATGCCCCAGTTCTTCTCTCTTGAAAGAGACTGGCCAATGTCAAAACAAACCCTCCCCGATCCTCCACACAATCAATAAACCACATTGGGTCTCTCTAGTGCTCAGTGACACAGTCTTCTGCTGGAAACTCTGTTCTCTATTGCAATCTTAGTGTCAATAGGAAGGGGCTATTGTCTGAAATTATTCATGTAATAAATAAAACCTTAATCTATTTAGAGGTTGTAAATGATCCAGCTGGATTGGAGCACTGGTGTGGAGGACTCCAGCTGAGACATCGTGTGTGCTTTCTGAATCAATCAGTTTAATGGCCCAAGAGTGAACTGCAATTCATTTTCTCAAACATAAGTAACTATAAAGGAATAAACAACAAGTGCTGCTATGATGTGCTTTTGAATATCGTTAAACAAGCTTAAAAAAACAAAAATGGATTAAAAAGTTGTATCCCCCCAGCTTTATCTCTGGCCTTCATTTCCAAGGCATATAAAATGTGTCATTCACAGCATGGTACCGAAGTTGTTTAACACAAGAGTTGACCAGACTAAGCTAACCAGGGGAGTGCATGGTCACATCATGCTTGAAGAGATTATGTTTAAAGAGTTTATGTTTAAAGAGGAAGATTGTAATTATGCTGAATATATGGTATGAAAGATAATAATCCACAGTACCATTTAAGAAGTTGCGCTGGTTTTCTAAAATTTGGTTGATTTCATGAATCCAGATGTGGCGCACTGTAGGGTTCGATGCTTGCAGAACGTAGGTTTCCACACTACCTTCGGTTGATCGTGAGGTAAGTGCAAATTTACATGGATCATTATCCACATTCTCTTCCAAGCCAAGGCAGCTCACCTGAAAACACAGCCAGCCAGTTGTAAGAGCTGCAAACAAGGGAGCATCAAATACTGGCAACATGAGACACTCTGTTGCAGGATTAGTCATTGTGTTAATGGAGATATGAGAAACATTTTCAACCGTGATACTTTTATTGAGTGGGGTCCAAAACGTGTGGTTTCAACATTTGTTTCTTAATAAGGACTCATCATCAGTGATTCTTTCCTGTATCCACGCAAATGTTAAACCAATCCAAATGAGAATATTACATATTAGAGATGTGTGATTGAGAGGCAGTTTGTACAATGACTAGTCTGCGATAAGATAGCATGACTCCTCTGTAAAGACTGACCTGACCAGTTCTTTCATGGGATTATAATATAGTTAGCAAAAACATGAGCCCGAATTCTCTGTGTGAGTTTAAATATCAGCCATCATTTGGATTGTAAGTAAGGCAAGCTAATGCAAACCTGTGACTGTGCTGGATAAAATAAGTCCTCACAACATATAAACAGAAAATGTACACTGCTTGTATTAATAAAAATAGCACACGGGTTAACATATTAAACATTACAAACTCTAAACACTAATCTAATTACCTTGATGTTGTTTTTAAATAAATAGCCGGGCATGGAGAACCCTTTCTTCTTGTCTAAAGGTTCACTGAATATTGCAATCTGCTCAAATAGGAAGACTCTCCGCTCTTTACTGCGTGAAAGAAGCCCAGCATCCTGGTCTACAACTAAGAAGGTGTCTTGGAGAAGCAATCTTCCCTGGGCTATAATTTTTCCCTGAAAACAGAAGACAAAGATGATCATCTATACTAGTATTCCCACAAAAGAAAGCTTTGGAATATGGGTACATGAATTGGCTGTTTGGTTCATTGAGCTTGCTCTGCCTTTCCATCTGTCCATGGTAGTCCTTTCTAATGCCATTTCCCTGTTTTCTCCATATCTTTAAATACCCTTTCTTTCACAAGTACCTAATAATAATAATTGCATTTGATACAGCGCCTTATCACATCTTCGAGACGTCTCCAAGCGCTTCACAGAATATACTATAAAGTGAATCGACTGTATATTTTGTGGGTGAAACACAGCAGCCAATTGCGCATAGCAATGTCCCACAAACAGTCGTGGATTGAAGTGACCAATTTTTTTTTTTTGAAGGAATTATTTCCCCCCGAAAAGCGATCCGCCAATCGATTGACAACTGATTGACTACTTATTGCTAGGTAAACAGAGGCGTGTGAAGTAAGGAAACTTGCCCAGCATTTCGACCTGTCTAAAATCCTGTCTAACACTTACCTATCTAAAATTGTCAAATATACACAGTTCAAAAGTTGTCCTTAATCACATGCATCTCTCCACAGCTCAGAAAATAATTTAGTGTGCTGGCTAAATCATCTTAGATGTACTTTGACAATCCTGACTATAACTAAAAACATTTTCAGCAAATGAATACACTGCCATCCTCCACTGAGTATCCTTGGATAACCAAAATATTTATGGCAATAGTTCTGCTGCTCTCACCTGAAGTTAAGGCAAATTCTGATTCACACTGCAGTTCTCTTGGGAGACTTTATATGACCTATATTGTTAAAATTATTTATACTGTTGTACTGCACCCTTGTTGACAAAAAATACATTTCAGTAAGATATCAAATATTATTTTAAATAAAAAAATCACATCTGCTTGCAATTCCGTTATCCTTTTAGCTGATTTGCCTTTCATGTACAGGGTGACCACAAAAGTAGTGATATCTACCCTACTGTCTAAAAAAAACAAAAACATCATCTTTCTTTAAGACTTATTAGACATTGTAAATGGTATCACAACTTTTTTGGTCACCCTGTAGCATTTTGGGAAACAATTCCTTCCCCCTGATGTAGAACAGATTTAGTAAACCAGGCTTGTTGACGAGAAGTAATATACACAGCATCCTTAAGCAAAATGGTTGCAGGAAATAAAATCTTAAAATTACATCAAATCCTTGCAGCCGTCCGACATTCATCATATCATTGCATCGTTTTGGGACAATGCACATGACCTCCACAGCTCTCTGTATGCAGAAGACAGTAAGAAGATGATTAGCTACCACCGCTTTTAGCTGGTTGAAACATGTAACTTGAAATCCTTTCTTTTTTCTAAAAAAAGGCCTTATTATTTCACATCTTAATTTCATTATTGTGTAGTGAATACTTGTTATTTTCTAAGCAGCTAAATAGGTGTGAAAACTCACTGGCTTACATTATGTCTTGATAAAGCCTATTGCTTAGTATACATCTGTGTATATTTAATTTAGTCTTTTAATTCGTCACCTTTTGCTGGATTTTTACATACTTCTTTCTCTTCCCCTTTCCATTCATAATTTCTGCGTGAGGGGCTGATGCGTAAGGTAACATGTTCCAATGACTTCCAATGCTGCTTGAATACTGTCCACTTGGTGGCAACAGTTTACTGTCCTCTGGGAAAACTAAGACTAGCTAAGACTGGGGGGGGGGTGTAATTCTACCACATCCTGGAGCAGATTAGTGTTTGTGTACAAGCACAAGTATAATAATAATAATCATTTGCCTTTGCTATAGTGCCTTATCATATCTTTGACACGTCTCAAAGCGCTTCACAGAATATACTGTAAAGTGCATTGACTATATTTTGTGGGCAATAATCTTTTAACTAAAAGGGAGAACAAATAACTTAAGAAATAAAAATCTCTATATCCTAAACTAAGATAGCAATGTGAACACAGCCTATGCACACTTTGTTTTTAATCAGTTTTAAGGACCCAAATCTGCTACATTTTAGAGTTAATGCCATTATTTTCAATTTCAGATTATTCAGAATTTTGGAAAACATTTTTAAGGTCAGTTGTAATTTTGAAGTCTGTTTTCTGCAGTCCTTAAACAGTACTGTTTAAGAAAGGAAACAAATGGTATCCAAACTGTTGACCAAAATATTTCTGAGTGAAAATATTGTTTTCCAATCCAGATATATATTTAATCTGCTAAACACAGAGATCCTGGCCACCTAATGTACAAGAAAATAAAACAATACATTTGCCAGCAATAAAGTAGGGCTTTCAACAAGCGCATGAGCATGTATTAATCAATCATAATATGCAGTCAGTTTGTACAAAGGTAAGCGATTAATTACATCAGTAGGTATGAACAAGATCAATGTTTGTCAAAAATACAACAAACAGTAGCAAAGCACACAACTACAAACACGCTTCCCCAGAACACATCCACAATGTATAAACAGTATTTTCTTACAGGTTGACTAATTGTCTTTTCAACTCAACAGTATCTATGAACACTGCTTGTGTTGTCTGGTAGCCAACTAATTTGACCAATGATGTGCTAAGACCATACCTCCAGTTCCATTGTGTCTACTGCTGCCTTCCTGGAGTACTTAAGAAAGTCCTGGATGTGGGGAAGAAACAGAATTAATTATTGTAAGTGGATCTGGAACTGTAGAGACCTGACTTCAAATAAGTACAGTAAATCCCTGTTAACTCATGCTGTTAATAGTTGTCATGCTGTTAGTAGCCCAGCTGCATTTATTTATGCATATACATATGCCTAACTCGTCACTCAGGATAATTGTCACTGAGTGCTTTTCCCTTGGAGTGTCAAGTTACCAGGAGTTTATTGTGTTAGCTCCTTAAATTTTTTTTAAAAATCTGAATTTATTTAAATTTGATCAAAGCTGTTCTATCTTTTACTGAAACCACTTTAACACCAGATTTGTGAAATTATCATACCAATGGGTAATCAAAACTCATAGAGTATCCACTTGTTAGGTAGAAACAAAAAATGCCTTAAGGCTTTCACAACTGTGAACTGAAACTAGACAGCAATTAAAATGAATCGTGTCTTTAAATAGTCATTGACATAAGCCTCTGCTGCTATAATGCTGGGGTATGCAGTATCGGTGCTGGAACATTTTTGCAATTACAGTTTTCTCTGAAGCACTCACCTTCAGCAGGAGCTGGTATTTCATTATCCGCTGCACCGGTTTTATTAGCAGGTCTGTTAGCTGTAACCGGTGACCAAGCCGTTGTTTTACATCCTAAAAGATCATTTTAAACAGCGTGAATTAAGAATGTTTTTATTTTTGTCCAGGTGTAGCTTTTTTAAAAATATACGGTAAATCTTTTGATACTCGTATTTATACTTACATCTCATTTGCATTGAACTGATACTCACATCTTAGAATAAAGATCTTTATAATCTTAAATATAACTATATTTTAAGGTACATAAAATCAAACTCTAAAATAAAACAACTTGCATTTATATAGCAACTTCAAGCTTATATAGCATGATATCTCGGAGCGCTTAAATGGGGTCCAAACAGGAATTCTGACAAACCAGATTATTTGCATTAAAGGTGATTTCCAGTTTGCAGGTTGTGAATATCACACGATTTGCTGTGTGGGCTGCAAATTGCAAGCCTCAAGCTAGCAAAAAGCCCCAAAAAAGGTTGGTGAGCAAGAGAAAAGTATAGGTGCAGAACATTTCACTATACATTTTTTGCATACAATTTACAATGCAATATACACTTATACAGCACCTTTCATGTCAGGAGGACATTTCACAGTACTTTACACTGCGGGGGTTGGGCCCTCAATTTGGGATGGGAGCCGAAGGAGATGGGGAATGGGAAAATGACCGAAGGCGTGGTCAAACAGGAAGGTGTTGAGAAGGACCTTGAGCGAGGTGAGCGAGGGAGAGACAGAGGGACTCCAAGATGGAGTTCTAGAGAGTGGGGGCAGAAAGGCTCACCCTCAGTTGGTGGGGCAGATAGGATAGGGACATGAAGCAGGCTGGTGTTCACTGAAGGAACGGAGTGGCCAGTCAGTAAGGTTGAAGGAGATGGTAGAGTTACGGTGAGGCAAGACAGTGGAGGGATTTGGAGGTGAGCATCTTGAATTTGATCCGCTGGGGGACGGGGAGCAAGTTGACCTGGGCAAGGATGAGGTGACAGGTGCACAGAGCCAGGTGTGGGAATGGACACAGGCTGCAGACTTGTGGATAGGAAAGAGCTGCAGAGTCTGGTGAGCCGGGTGTTAGTGTAGTCAAGCTGGATTGGGATGATAGTGTGGATGAGGATCTTTGTTGCCTGAGAGGAGAGGTGGTGGCTGAGATAGGCAATGTTACGGAACATACACATAGATGGGAAGAGTGCTTTGAATAGAATTTATTTGCTTTTAGACTCCCCCCATAAGCTGAAATGAAATCATTCTGCTCTGAGGCACACGAATAATCTTTATGAACATTTCCTGGTTTGAAACTTCTCACCTCAAAATAGGTGTCAAGGTATTCTGAGACGATGTGCTCAGATTTGGGCTTGTTCTGGCAGTAAACTATGTACATATGCAGTCTTCTCTCCTTAAGGAAAAGAATAGGTACAAAGGTGTAAATAATAGCAGTTTGTTTCCTTTTTTTAAAATAAATCTTTGAATCGTCAAGTCACCCCAATATAAGAGGTATTTTCAATTTGAACCGTGAGCTTTACGATTATGGCTTATATTACATAATGACAATAATAATCCTTGCATCTGATAATAGTGCTTTTCACATCTTCTAGACTTCTCAAAGCGCTTCACAGAATAGACTGTAAAGTGAATTGACTGTATGTTTGTGGGCGAAACGGGGCAGCCAATTGCCCACAGCAGTGTCCTACAAACAGTCGTAGTTTGAAAATGACCAATTTATTATTGTTTTGTTTTGGAGGGATTATTATCAGACGTGTGGAGTAAGGAAACTTGCCCAAGGTTTCGCCCTGCCTGGAATTGAACCCAGGTGTCTCATTTGCAAGGTGAGTGCTCTAACCACTGAGCTACAGGACTCCACAAATGAATGAATACTATAAGGCAGTAGGACAAGAGGACATAGGTTTAATATTGCAAAAGGCAATTTTAGGACAGATTTTATTGATTTTCTCAGGCAATCCTACTGACTGCAACTAAACTGCAAGTTTCAACATGGAGCACCTTGCTGCATATTTCAGTGCAACAAACACTTAATAGGAGGAAGCTGAAATTACATCTTGTTAAAATTGTCAGTGGGTAAAATGTGTCATCGTCTGTCAACAGATGCAACTATGTCAACTATGCATGTCAGCGCTATAGCAATAACTGGTATATCTCTGATAATGGACTGACTTTGTAACATCAATCAGACTGAAGTGCTTTTGTCCAAGGATGCAAAGCCAAATAAATACAAAACGTCCCTGTTTCCCTGTTACAGTTACCATAGTAATATCTATTCTCATTTATCTATTTTAACTGTTTACGTGTCTCTTAACAAAAAGAAAGTTAGTGGAGAAAATGCAACTTACATGCTTGACAAAGAGGGAAGCCAACTTGTCAGGATCCTCAAGGCATCTCTCCAGTTCACCAAGAAAGAAGCTGCAAAAAAAAATCAATTGGATAATAAGGCATTCATTAAACACCATTGTACTGCCATAGAAACAGCGGGAACAAATCTTTGCTGTATTAATGCAAAATATAGCACCGGCTGTAGTAAAGCTGTTGTGCTCTGCAAAGACTATTTATTTCTGAAGATAAATGTCATGCAATCGTATACACCACATTTTGCTTCTCAAATGTAAGCCTGTGCCAAATCCTTCTATTTTTCTAATAAAGATCAGACTCTTGAAGCATGCAATTTCTTTATAATTGCTGCTAGTTTCTGACTCTTTCTCTCCCCCCCCACTCCTGTCCCTGCCAATTACAGGGATTATTGAGTGGGATAAAGACATCATAATGTTAACATAAAAAAATGAAACTCATTTTAGCAATTGGTAATCAGGTACTATGGATCAGTATTGGAGGGATAAAGAACACATCAGAAGATGCCAGATTGCTGGTGGACAAGGTGGTGGTCAGGTATGGAACGTAAATCATTGTTAATATGGCTTTGCCCTTGAGAAGATACAAAAGACCTGCATCCAAGATTACTTTAGGTATCAGGAAAATGGATCTCCTCACTCTTTGGAAAAGAGAAGACTTGAGATAGCTTAATCAAAGTTTTAAAAAAAGCTGCCAAACTCTCTGATCTATGCATGGGAGAAACCTGAATAGCTCCTTGCTGGGCCCCTGAGTAGTCTACTTCAGCAGTATCTGGTAATGGGAGGACAAAGTAATAATGCTGAATGCAGCAGATAAAATATGAATCGTGTAAGACTCTGGAACAAAATAACAATCTTGTTGTTACTTCTCATTGTAATGATTAATAACGGAGACGATGATGTGATTTGGTTGTGTAATAAGTTGGAATGGTTCCCGTTCACTTCTGGGATCTGGGCTCAAATTCATCCCAGGCAGAATGTCTACACTGCAACTCAAAAATCTTTACATTTTCTTCTTTGGATCCCACATCTTTCAACTATCTTCAGCTTATTTCCAATGTTGCATCAATCACACTCATTACTTTTACACTAAGGAGCTGAGTGGCAAAAGGCTGCTTGTATTCTGTGCAAGGAAACCAGAAGAGAATTACACTGGCTCACGGAATAGCCACTTCAACTTGGATCTACGTTTCGTATTGGTGGGTGTAATATACTTCTGGTTACCAAAGGAGTGCCCGCTCAGATTCCTTGTAGCAAGAATCCTGCTAACAAATCATTCCATATTACCAGTTTTACTTTAAAAAATGGAATTCCATAATTTACAATACACAATAATTAAGTAAGTGTAAACTGTGAAGCATTTCAAGATGTTCTCCTGAAGTGAAAGGCGCGATATCAAGTTTAAGGATTCTGATTATTATTTTCAGCAAATTCTTCCTCCTCACAGTGGAAGGTCATCAGTTCAACTGGACACCTGGTCTATCAATGACAAGTCATTTTAGATCTGAAAGTGGCATCTTACAGGGCAATGGGAGAGGAACCCAGTATTGGTTGACTGATTTAAGCCACTAACTATCCTTTGACTGTTTACTAACAGTTTCTCATTGCAATTCATCACTTTTCTTCCTCGCTGTTGTAAACACACAGAAATAAAAATGAAGTTAAGCAAGTTTACGTACTCTTTGTGCCAGTCGTAGATCTGATGTATATTGCCAAACACAATCTTATCTTTTCCCTTCATATCATCAGGAACACCGTCTTCTTTCATTACTGCTATGTAGCCCTGAAGCAGGAAAGAGATGATGTGAATAAATGCTTCATGTTTGATCAATCTAATTAATTTGAACAAGCCTGGGCTTGTAAAAATCTGCAATCAAGCTCACTGCTACTCTCGTGGGTAAAGGCCACGGAGGAATTGTTGGGCCCAAAGAATTCTATCTTTTAATGCTGCTCCCAATCATGGAGATTGGTGTTTGTGTGCAACCAAAAATAGAAGGTTGACTTAACTCAGACAAGACTGAAGCAGAATTCAAACACTGCCCTTGGATTGAAAACAATCTCGGGCTCGAGGAAGTGATATCTCAAAAGGAATGAACTACATCACATCTAGGCTCGACTACGCCAACTCCCTGCTTGTCAGCCTTCCCAACTCTTTGCTTCACAAGCTGCAGATCATCCAGAACTCTGCAGCTCGTGTCCTCTCCTGCACCAGGCTCCAGGACCCCCACCCTCACCCGGCTCTACTTGTTCCCCATCCCCTAGAGGCTAGAGTTCAAAATCCGTGTCCTCGCCTTCAAAGCCCTCCATGGCTTTGCTCCCTCCTACTTCTGTGACCTGCTAACCCCATGTAAACTTTTCAGCTCCCCCCTGCTCAGCAGGCTCTGGCCTGCCCCATGTCCGTTGCTCGGCCCGCGCCACCATTGGCAGTTGGGCCTTCAGCCTCTCTGTCCCCTCCCTTTGGAACTCCATCCCATATTCCTTTGCCTCGCTTCTTCTCTTGCTTCCTTCAAGTCACGTCTCAAGACCACTCCTCTTCGACCGTGCCTTCAGCCACCCTCCTACCCCTCCCTGCCGTCCAACCACGCTAATCCCAACCCCACCTGCTCGAGTCCAAATCCCTGACTGACCAGCGCCTTGGGACGTCCTCCCGACGTGGAAGGCGCTATACAAATGTAATTTTTTATTTAGTACAGGGGTGGTATGGGAAAGAACAAGTAAATGGGACTGAAAGGATTGCTGTTAAAAGAGCACAGACATGATGGGCCAAAAGGTCTTCTTCCATTACATTTTCAGTAGTACAAAAAGAGAGGAAACATAAGGTGAATTTTGCCTCAATTGCACTTATGTGGTGTGAAGCAAAACTGATATGACAGAAGCTTTGTGAAGTTGTCTTACTTTTTCTCTTCAACCGTGCTTTCAGCTCCCCTCTCAACTCTCTACCCCCTCCTCGCTCCCTCCCTCCCCTCACCCTGACCATTTCCCCCCTGCTCGGGTCCTGACCCAACTGTCCAGCACCTTGGGACGTCCTCCCGACGTGAAAGGCACTCTATAAATGCAATCTTGTTATTGTAGTAAGTTGATATGCTGAGGATCAGGCTGGCATTCCCAATCTGTGCTACCTTTCATTCACCTGCACAACAATGATCTGAGCACCATATTGACGATATCCATCACTTTCACGATAAGGACAACAGAGTGACTTTCAAGATATAAAGCATCAAATACGTGCAATTAAAGCAAGTCACTTATTGGAAAGCATGTCAAAACTCACTTCCACCACACAGCCCAGATCTCGCACGTAATCACGCTCAGTCTCTACCAGCTCCTGTAAGACATAGCTAGAACAAAACACATGCAGATAATTTGATTGTGAGAAATTTCAGCAAAGCATGTTGCCAACTGGCGCACCGTGCCTGTGCCATATTAGCTCCCCACTAGAATGAGCTAATCCAATTCCCTTTTCCTGTATTACTTTACTCTTTTTTTTTCTATTAGTGTTCCTCCAACTTCCTTCTAATTTAAGCAATTGACTTGGTGTTGATGGCACTTGTGGAAAAACATGCCACAGACTTATCCAGAGGCTTTGTATAAAAACATTTCTAACCTCAAATTACAGTTGTGAGATATGTGCTTCACATTCTTCTTAAAGACATGTATGTATCCTGTTTAACTTATAACATAAAAAGTTAGTTTAAAGGAAGCAATTACTTTTTGAAGAGATGCAATAGATAGACTGCAAGTACAATATTGCTCAATTATTTCTGTAAGGTGACCCCAACAGTGATAATTGCTAAATCAAACCAAATGTAACAAAATAGAGGGTGAATGCTGAACTGAACATGCTCATTATAATAATTCACATGGAAGACAATGGCATTGTTTGCAACAATAACATGTGCTTAATCTTCAATTAAATAAATCATTATAATCTAGAATTCATTTCCATGTTTAGAGAAATAGATCAGATGCTTAGTGGTTCATCCACAGAGACTTACTGTCGCCTCTTTAAGGAACTAGATTTCCTTTCTTCCATTTCGTCGATGGGCGAGGAGGAGGAAGTACACAGCAGAGAGTTATCAGATGGGTTGAAGGATGGACTGCTACTGTCTGCCTGATCAACAGACAGAGAGGTGGGCCGATCCTCCAGTGCCTGTATACGTGTTTGAAGGAAAGAAAAGAGAATTGTAAACTGCTCCAACGTAAGGAGAAAATATTATACAATAGCTTGATTCTGAGAGCTCCATGGATTGTTGACACCACATGCACCATGGTATAGAAAACTGATCTTTTGGGCAGTGAGTGCTTCAGGGGTTGACAGAATGCTTTTTCACCTCCTAGCCCCGTTTGTATTAAATTAAACTGAGTCTCCTATTTTTGTCAATTACAAGGGTTATTAGGTCGCTGGCTATTCAGCCACCCAATCCTGTTTTGTGAGACTATTAGGGCAATGTTTTGGCTTCACTTTTTCAATTCCATTTAAAATCTTGAATACCTCCAAAGATCTCCTCTGAGATGATTCCTTTCAAAACTGAAAAACCCTAATTTGACTAAGTGTTACTATTAGCTTATACCTCTAACAATGGGATATCTAAAAAGGTTCGCCCACAAAATACATTCAATCCACTTTACAGTATATACTGTGAAGCGCTCTGAGACGTTCCTACGATGTGATAAGGTGCTATATCAGATGCAAGGATTATTTTTATCATTCTCTTTGTTTTCCTTTACACTGCCTCTCGGGCCGGAGCAGCCCCTTACGCCTCAACAACCAGAACTTTACGCAGTAGTTTAGCTGTGCTCTGACCTGAGCATTATACAGCTTTTGTATGACTTCTGGGGATCTGAACGTAATTGATTTGGCAATATAGCCAGCATATTGTTTTCTCATTGATTGATGCCTCACACAGTTTGGACTTGAGGAGCAATAAGTTAACTAACATTCCTAGGTCTCTTTCAGCGTCCCCTTTGGCAAGATCTATCCCATCTATGGAATACTTGTGTCTCGCATTTTACCTCCAATTGTACAAAACAATACAAATTTACATTTATATAGCGCCTTTCACATCGGGAGCACTTCCCAAGGCACTTGACAGTCCTGGCTTGGTACCTGAGCTGAGGAGGTTAGGGAGAGGAAAGATGACCAAAGGCATGGTCAAAGAGGAAGGTCTTGAGGCAGACCTTGAAAGAGGTGAGGGTGAGTGCGAGTCGGAGTGACTCCGGGATGGAGTTCCAGAGCAGGGCTGAAAGATAGATAGACTGAAAGCCCGACTGCCGATGGTGGGGCAGGGGACACGAAGGAGGGCAGTGCCCGCTGAGAGAAGAAAATGATCAGATTGGCGTAGTTTGAGAAGGTCACAGAGGTAGGGTGGGGCAAGACTGTGGAGGGATTTAAAAGTGAGGACGAGGATCTTGAGCTCAGTCCTCTCAGACTTGGGGAGCCAGTGGAGCTGGGTGAAAATGGAGCTGATAGACTTGAAGAGCACCTTGTGTAGTACCTTGCATTCATCTGAGTCACCAGCTGATGTGCACACATTATTAAGCTCTCTTTATATGACTTTTGCTGTCTCTTTTGATTTCACAGTTTCCCTTCAACTTGGTGTTGAATCCCTGTCACTAAGGTATAGAAGAAATAGGAGGAGTCCCAATACAGATCTCTGGGGCACCTTCCCCCTCACCCATTTTGACCTAGCTCTATGATAGTAAATGGGCAGTACTTTCTCCTACCATTTTACTCTTCACAAGCTCTTCAATGGCACTGACAAGCTCTGCCGCACTGGGAGTCTCTGAGCTTGTGGGGCGCACCGATAGACGAGAGGATGTCTGAAGAATAACATATAGAAAGAAACTCAATGACAAAGGATCCAGGCCAGCACAATGATCTGTGTCCCTTTCAGGAACATTGATCACTGCATGGATAGAAACTAGAGACAAACCGAATGAAGCAAAACAATTACAAAGGTAGTGCATTACATATCTTATGAAGGGGTCTCCAGGCATTTCCATTAAGTAACTTGAGTTTTATTTATTTTTAAATAAAAGTATTAAAAGTATATGCAGTTGGGGGGGAAAACTATGCACAGGAGACAAGGCTCACCATTTCTGAGGTATCCTCAAAGTATATTCGGATGTTTGGATTTGTTTCCAGACCAGGACTGCAGGAATTTAGGAGATCTCTGGCCTCAAAAGCAATCTGACGTCAACTTATGTCTAGTTGTACGGAATTGTATGTAGCTGGTAGAATATTGGGGGAACCAACAGTAAGGGAGTTCTGGGAAGGGACACTCAGCCAATCAGACTAAAATAGAAGTACATGGCTTTTATGTGCTTCATGTACCATCAAGTGCACAACAGACTGGATTTCCACATCATGACTTTTAATATTAAAAAGAAAAAAAAACATGTGCATACGTGACACAGAAGGCTCATTAACCACAGCAAACAATTTCAACAAGAGGGGCTTTTGCTTTTTTTAAAAAAGAATAGTATATGGTTAAGTTGAACCTTGCAATACCGCAAGTTTCAAACACATTTTCAACAAAAATGGTTTTGAGACAGAAGCAGTTTAAGAACAGCAGGACTAAGACTGGGGAAGCATAATGATTTAAATAGAGAGATAAGGGAACTGAGAAAATACAGAGACAGAACATAAATCAACATAATGCTGTGATACATTTAAAAGAGAGAAAACAAAGCAATTAGTTACAGCATACACAAGTTATTATTCACATAATGAACAGTCTGCTCCATGTGGATCACCAATGCATATTAAACAACAACACTACTGCAGGAGATCTAGCAATCCTTTTATTCTTAGGAAATTTCTAGTGTCACGAGTTAAAAACACCCACTGTAAAACTTGACTTCTCAATATATTCAAAGTACTTGTGCATTTTCTGTAGAACACAAATATTACATTAACACCTAATTTTCCGAATTTCTTTGCATGGATTGCCCAAAATGGGACAATTAAATTACTGGAGCACATTCATTCAGATATTTGGCCTATAATATATTACTTTTCTGCACTTAAAATTGTACCAAGTCAATGCTAATTTTTCTACTTCCTTTACTTCTATTAGGGTCATGGCAGGGATTTTCTGCACTTTATAATTTTATGAGGAGTTAAAAATAGCTGACATATTAACTGGAAACACTCCTTGAGGTTTGTTTTCATGAAAAAAAATAGCAAGCTGTCTACCTCAGAAATGTTATAATTGGCCTTTTTTACTAGAGAGGAGGCTGATAACTTACCTTATCATCCTGAGAGTCAGGCTGGAGGAGACTGTGTTGCTGAATGGCCATCGGAGGAGGAAGAGGAACTGCATCTGCTCCTTCTTCACCTTCTTCCTCTCCACAGCTCTGCATGCCAGAGGACGAGGATTTGGACAGTGTGCCACTGCTGAGCCCTTCATTCCGTCCCCTCTGTGAACAGAAATCAAATTGTGGAGTTCTGTAGCGCATTGGTTAGAGCACTCGCCTCACAAGCGAGAGGACCCGGGTTTGATTTCCGGGCAGGGCGAAACCACAAGCCTCTGTTTACCTAGCAGTAAGTTGGAACCCGGTTAGTCGATTGGCGGATTGCTTTTCCGGGGGTAATAATCCCTTCAAAAAAATAATAATAATATTTATGGGACACTGCAATTGTCTGCCACGTTTTGCCCACAAAATATACAGTCAATTCACTTTACTGTGTATTCTGTGAAAACACTTTGAGACGTCTCGACGACGTGATAGGTCGCTTATATGAATTGCAAGAATTATTATTATTATAGAAATCAAAAGTTCCAGGTGAACAACTGCCCTCATCAGCACGAACAACATTGAAAGCGTAGTTACAGAACACTGCAGATGAGCAGCAAAATTAAACCACACTTTCTCACACACTGCACTCTTTTGCACAGACCTTATATTCCAGCAGATGATATTCCAGCCCTGCACGGCCTTTGCCTTCAGACTTTAAAAAATTTTAAATCTTTAAAATTGAGGAAAATTCAGCAATTAGTTTGAATTGGAAGCTGTTTCTTTTTACCAATCATGGAAAAAATGCCTTTCAAATCTAAGGTGGAATTTAAAAATTTTCAATTTTAGGTTTTAATGCAAAGATCATGAGGGAATTCGGGTTTCAGAAATCCAGATGATGTGACATCGGAATCATTGCTTGATTGAATCATTTTTAACTTTCTGTCCTATCCTGTTTGTTGTTTGCACAGATCATGTGTCCAATTTGTATTTAAAAAAATGTAATTCTTTACTAGTTTGCACACTTTGACCACCCGACCGCTGCTCACCTCATCCACGGTTTCTTCCTGGGGAGTCGCTGCGCTCTCATCCGAGTCTTTTTGAGCTCCCACGTCAGCACTCTTCCGGACGTCCCTGCTCTTTTTGTGTTTGTGGGCTAGTTTCTTCACATGGCCGTCGGCCTTGCCACTGCTGAGACGTCTCACTGGGCTGGTGAGCCATTTCCGCAGAGTGTTGCCGGGACGCTTTGGGCCTGGTGAGCTTTGGGTGGTGCTCACAGCGTGGGGTTGGAGAGAGGTCACTGAAGCAGGAGGGCTTGCATCATTGCTGGACACTGAGAGGGAATCTGTTAAAGGAAAGCGTACACAACATTAAAGTAACCATGGACTGAATTGTGACAAAATCTTACATTCAGTGGAGCACTCTGTTTCTAAGAGGATAGATTGGCAACACACTATGTATTCATCTCAATTTGTAGGTTAGGATAATTGTGAAAAACAAAGAAGTGCATAGAATCTGCAAATGAACAAGCGGATTCCAAACAATCCACTTTGGGTTGTCAGCAAACTGACCACATTTTGTTTCGGAGGAACTGGCAGCAGCCCATTCACATCCTTTAGTAACATTGTCCTGACAGGTATCTGCCAGATATCAACAACAACTTGTATTTATATAGCACCCTTCATGTTGAGTAACACCTTGGAGCACTTTCCAGAGAGAGTGTGGGCAAGCGGGGGAGAAAAGAACCAGAACCTAACTCAGGGAAGCAGTGAGTAATACTGCCATTTTGTTCAACCCTCAGCTCTTCTTTAAGCCTTTCAGCCAATGCTTGATCAAATCCGCTTTCTCCACTTCCAAAACATTACCTCCACTTCATCCCAACTCAGTCAAACCTTGATCAACTTAGACTTGATTGCTCTTAATGTTCTCCTTACTAGCTTTCCTAACCTAATCAATCATAAACTCCAGATGAATCAGAGATCTGTAACCTGTATCTTCTCCCACACTATGTCACCCCATCCTTGCCAGCCTCCACCATCTCCCTATTCCCCAGCAGATTTCAGGATCCTCACTCTGACGTTCAAATGCTTGGACACCTTTGTCTCAGACGAACGCTGTGATCAGCTCCAGTTTTACAATCCAATCCCTTGGCTCCATTAACTTTAGGCTGCAGCACGTCCCTTATTGTCTCTGGCTGAGCTTTCGACCACTAAGCCCCAACTCTCCGAAATTCTCTATTATAAATCTCACCACCTTGCATCCTCCCTCTGCCTCTCTGGCTGTTTGTGGGGCATTACTCTGCACAAATTAGCTGTCACTTTCACCAACAAAAACATAGGAACAGCCACCCCACGGTTCTACAGCCACATAAGAGCTACATTTGATCCCCAGAACATTTCTACCACAGAAAGAGCAGGCTCCAATCAAGAATTCACAAAGAATTTAAAAGCAAAGACATTGATAGTTTTTGTAAGGTTTACGATTACTGAGGACAATGTCCATGCACACATTCCTCCCCTGTTGTGAAACAGAAACACATAAAGCTAGCATTTCATTTTATTTAATCCACTGGTCTCTTTCTCAGGCTTTTTTCGATATGGTCTCTCACTGTCAGGCAATAAATCAAGTCAGGAACACAAGCACTAATATAACATCCCCCTCTAAGCTATTGATCCCCTTCCATAAGGGTTAAGGCACTTTTCATTTTATGTAATTTAGTGTCTGTTCTTGTAACCGATATAGGAAAACAACATCAGAGCTGCCCCCTTTTTTATTAGCATCCCTGACTCCCAGCTGTGGCCATAGTGAAAGGTCACAGAGGATTCAATGACAACACGCATCTGGTTTTGTTTAAGTGAAAGGAGGGGTGAAGGTGGGAGTGAGATGTTTCAAAGCCATGTATGCTGCCCTCTCACCCCTTCCTTTCACATCTGGCTAGACGGTCCCCAACCCTCAATTTGATGAACTCATAGTTCATGCAGAGTCCACTTTGGTCAGTGAGTTTAGTGTTATTAACTCTGATTACCCTAAGGACTCTGCCAAAGACAGAAAACAGAGAAGTGGATTACAGTCTGAAGCACATGAGTAAGCCTGAACTTAACCCAAAACTTCCACAGCACTGGAACACAGTCAATTAATACAAATCTAGTGCATGGGGATAAGGAGGGGAGAGAGTCTGATAAAAGACAAAAGCAAATCACAAGTTTCTAGGGTTTCAAATCAAATCTCAGTGTACTGCTTGGCTGAATGCAGTCAGTTGAATTGTGATTTGGCCGTTTCTTCATGCAGGGTGTGGTATCCTGCCTTCTTCCTCATTAATGACCCATTTATTTCAATAGTCATTCACAATGGCATTATCCAGCCTGACTTAAATCTGGCCTTCTTGGCCCAAGCTATCCAAATACCTCAGTGATTTGAGAAGAATGAGCTGCAGTCCCCAACTCAAACAACATCACCCCCAGAACAACTCAAAGGGAACAACATTCTTTTTTTGTTAAAACAAAGGAAAGCTGCATTATTTACTTGTATAAGAACATATGAATTTGCGAGGTGAAAGAAGACCAAGGTCCATCCATTTCACCTTCCACCTTCCTGGCAGTCGCCTGACACATCGTGTACCAAACTATATATTGTATCGTGAGATATTATTTCCTAACCGGATTGATAGATCTGATAGCAAACATTTAAAAAGACGAAAGCATTTCCAAAATAACCTGAATGAACAGCAGTTCTATTCACCTATCTGGATAGAGCTCTGCTTTCTTCATCCAACTCATGGTATTTTAAATAATTTAAATGGTATAAAAAAACTTTTTTTATCCAGGATTCAATGAGAGGATTGTGAATATTGTTAAAAGGAACACTATTAACAAATCAGAATCGAAAGGAGAGTCTCCCTCGAATTAAAAGCAACTGTGTTTGAGGATTTTCACTGAAAAAACACAGTGCAGTATTCTAAAGAACTGTGTGCCACATGCTCAGGTCGTGGCAGACCATACACCAGCAAATTTTAATTTTCATTCCCACAATGTCTGAGCTTGTTGCATGCTGAGTAAGACACTACATAGACTGCAAGCACAAAGGGAATGCACAAAACAGAACCATCTGATAGTCACTTGGTTTTTACATGTTATTTGCAAAAAAAAGTTTTCTTTTTTAAGCGTTTAAATATTCTAATAATGAGCAACTTCCTGCAGGCTGCTCCAATCATCTGTACACAGAACATGCCTGAGGCTGCAGCCACAAGTCCCTTGAGTGACTCTCCACAATACCCCAACTTCACGATTCAGCAGAAATTGAATCACATTGGTAAGAACTTCCACACTCTCAGCCTATTCAGTGTCTGGCTCACAGACAAGCATATCAACCCAAGTTATTAATGGAAATGGTTTAAGCCTCATAGAAGATAGTTGCCAAGAAAAACAGACAAAATTCAGCCACTCAAACATGTCATGTTTTCCAAAGTGTACACAAGCAAAAAAAACACTTTATTTGTTTAGAGTTGTTCATTCTATGTGAAATCTGCCACATGAGTGTAAGAGAGGGATCGCCAGATAGGGAAAAGGGAGCGATAATTAAATGTTGAAGAAAAAACGTGATCGAAAAGATGTTTTTAGGTGTGTTTTGAAGACACAGAGAGAAGTGGCAGATGAAGAAGCTTTGGGAGAGTTGTGGAGCAGGAGTATTGTACCACCAATGTGGGAATGAGCAACAAACCAGAATTGGGGGAGCAGAGGGTATGGACAGAAGAATACAATTATAGAAAAGGGACAAGAACGTGAAGGGATTTGAAGGACATGTGAATGATGTTAAGGTTAATCCAATGGAAGCCAGTGGACCTTAGGAAATATGCAGAGCCTGATGTGGCAGAGAATAAGGCTTGCGGGTTTTTGGGGGATGAGTTGCAGCTAGGGAGGCTGGCAAGGAAAGCATTGCAAAAGACAATCCTTGAGCTGATGAAAGCATAGAATAAAGATTTCAACAGCACATGGGATGAGGTAGGGGCATAAACTGACAATGTTTCTGATGGACAAGCACAGCTGAGGGTTCAGAAGAATCCTACGGTCCTAAATGTAATGGTGCTCAGTTCAAGTATTTCCACTTGAACACAATCATTTAGATCCACACTATTTTATCATACTGCCATTATTAGCATTGGACTGTATTTCATTGATAATATTGGTATAAACTGATACACAGCACTCCCCAAGGTAACGTGTAGATGAGCTATTTCTATAACACTGATTCAGGATCAGCATCCAGACCGAAGGAAAGCTGAGTGCAATCAAGAGCTCTTGAGCAGGACATGCAGTCACCTCTAGTATGTTGTATTGTTGGCAGCTCAATAAAAAAAAGTCTTACCTCACAAGTGCTGCAGGATAAGTGATTTAAGATAGTTCTCACAGAAATAAGCGAGACGATCATGTAATGTCAGTGTTTCAGTATTTGATTTGTTTTGTGTTTTTGTTTGACATTTTGAATACACTTCAGAAATGAAAAGGGAAATGATAAGTCAAAGCAGTGACTGTTGTCTTTAATTTCACTGCAGTAAATACACTATGATCCAGAAGAGCAAAATCATCATCTCACAACCATGCAATAGGAGATCTCTCACTGGTGACAGCGAACAGAAAGGGCTCATAACTCACAAGCACAAGGAAATGGACAGAGTTATGCTTCAGCAGTGAAAGAACGACTGGAATTCACCGCCATTGCTTAGCTGAGTTGCCTGTCCTTTAAATGAATGTTGTGGGTAACTCTCAGGTGAAGATACACTACTTACGTGTGAGTTAATCTTTTTTTCTTATGTTAATTATCCCTTTTAAGTACAGAAGAATTCTGGAGGCACTCTCAAAGAACTGCTTCTGTGAGGTTTTGTACCTTTAAGTACCCTTTTTTGTTACTGCTTCCAGTCGCCCAAATAAGTACTGTAATATTCTTGCAATGTTTAAACATTGTGGATTTCCAAACGTGTAACTCAAAAAAGTCTAACAATCTGTGAAGAGTGCAATAGTAGAAGAATACTACAGTGATTAGTTTTACCTAAACATACATTCAATTGTAATGGATTATTTTCTACATCCTTTGATTAACACAACATTAAAATGTATTCTGAGTTGTTCAGTTGAAGTAATTTTTTGAAGGCAGGAAGAATCTGTCTTTCTGTGGCAAAATTTAGTGAAATTTCAACTGCCTCACACAAACTCAAAAGGCATATTGAGGCAAGCACAGAAAGTTAAATGTAGTCAAATGTATACCAATAACATTCCTTATCAGTCATCAATTCAACATACCTCCTAACAACATACTGCTGTTATAATAACATAGTGAGATTTGAAAACTGAG